ACTGAACGATAAATTCATGGTTGTTTGCTCAAACCAAACTTTCCCATAATTTTTGCGGGTCATCAGTCCGACAGTCGTCGTCTCATCGTTCGCTGTTCAGAAGGAAGATTAAAAACTATCAGAAACCTTCTTCTGTAATAACATCAAGGTTGGTTATATGTTGGCGTTAGAATAAAGGATTCTTGAGTCACCAATCAGTGTTCTGGTTTTCGTGTTGGTTAATACGAAGCGTTTCTGAAAGTCTTCGGGGGACAGCGTGAGGTCCAGCGTATCAAGAGCTGGACATTGGCAGTTTATGAAACTTGACTGACATGTACATTAGCTAGAGTACTCATGAGGTAGTTGAATTGGTCACGTAAGTTTACTGAATGAGATAACCTGGGACACTGACGAGTCTGTCAATAGTGCAATCAGCATATATTCTTGTCCATTTTCTCTGAAATAACTATCATAACTCGTGAGTGTTTCAGTATGACAATACCTATTATGTTGTACATCACTGGCGTAGTCACTGGTCCTGAATTAGTTGATGAGGCGTATCTTGATTGGGGCGTTTAGTGGCGAGTAAAACTTGACTTTTTAGGCACCAGTGGATTAAAAGGAGAATATAATCATTTTGGCTAGTGAGATTCAGAGGAAAACAAACGATACCCACAACAAATTCCAAACATCAAAATAAACAACTTATTATCATACATGTGTCACGTTACTAACATGATCGGTAATATTACAGCACACGCCTGAGACTATAGTATTATTATTTTTTCTTAAACTCCTGGGCTCTGAGGGGAGCATAGAACTTCCACAACACTTTGTCCCATTTTGTGCTGTCCTCCCACGCTGGTCCAGAATTGCCCATAATCCCTCATCAACGTCTCACACGGTCTCCTCCACGTCACCGTCGCACTGACGACCAACTCATCACTTCCCATTTGGATTCCCCTCGAGCATTCACCTGAAGCGCGATTCCATTCGATAGCCTCCTTAATCTTTACCCGACTCATCTCTATTTTCTCCTATATATTTATCAAGTGATTGGCTCATGATTTGTTCCCAGCCAGAGTCTCTTTCACTTTGACTGACCGTTTGATTTTCAGTATAGAACTAGAGAAGGCAGCTGTTGATAAAAGTCTGCAACTTGTTAGAAACCACTTTCGTGACGCACCGGTCAGATTTCTGACCAAGTCAAGCAATTTTCTGACCTGTAAAGAAACTGATTCCCATGACATTGATTCTGAAAAACTAAATCTTCTTCAAGTTGATTGATAGCAGATTTCCAAACTGGTTTTAAGTCGATGGAGGCGTATCTTGTCTTTCCGATTCTGGCCAGCTTTGACGTCTTCATCCGTTTCGGCTGCCTGTAGTTGAAACGATGCTTCCTAGATAAGTGAAGGAGGCAACCGCTTTCAAGTTCTTCCGGTTGATGGTGATTGGTGCTGGTTGTTGTTGCAGTTCGTTAGTAATCCTCATCACCTCCGCCTTCCCTATGTTCACCTGGAGTCCTGTCTTTTCTGCCAGCCTCTTCAGCCAGTTAGTTGGTTTTCGCCTGCAAGCCTTCGAGTTTGTGTGACATTAAAACACAAATCTTCCACGCCTGAAATACACATCTAGAGTTTTATCACTGCAACGTGTTCCTGTCGACTGGCTGCCCCACACCGTCCTAAAATGATCCAGTCCACCACAGTTAAGAAAATCGCCAGTGATAGTAGGCAGCCTACGTTGTATTACTCTTGTATTCGCTGAATTTTCCATTGTAGATCACCTGACACGAGGCACTGTTATATCGCCAGCTGTCAAGGAACTTAACCTAAGTTCCTCTTGCTACGAAGACACTCCGAACCGATAATTACTATGTACCTTCTTCGACTTTAACTCCAAAACACCAGTATTGTAAGAAAGAAGATATATTGTTTGGCAATTAAAGTGGAGAATAATACAAGCCTATAAACAAATGTTTTATGCAAAATTATTATGTACTTTTATTCGTTTTCGTTCGTCTTCGTCGAACTTGTACACGACTGAACCATTCGCGCCTTCAAGTTGCTACCAATGGCGACCAAGGCCAGTGAACCAACGTTCAATTTTCACTTCCATTGACACCACCTGTTGCATGATGTTGATAAAGACTAGGCCAATCCACGCCATAATGCTGAAGCAGTCTCCAAATTGCTTCTCGGTCATCGCTTCACATCAAATGCCTTTTTGAAGTCAGTGAAGTTGAAGTAGGGAGATGTTTGACTGCCATTCTGTGCTCGATTCAATGATGATGCGTAGAGTTGCAATTTGATCAGCATATGATTTACCTTTCCGGAATCCAGCTTTTTCAGGCGATCTGGCGGAGTTGTGTCCACTGAATCCTTTATTTTCTCCAGGATGATGCATTATTAGCATTATTCCACTCCAGTTCTTGCAGAGGCCTAGGTCGTCCTATTTTGGCATCTTGACAAAGTTGTTTTTCTTCCGGTTGGCAGGTGCATTTCCTCCCTTCCAAACCTTTTGTAATAATGACACGAAAACACCTGCTGCAGTTTCTGGGTCTGCTTTTGGTGGTTCGTGGGGAATTCCGTCTGGTCCTGTTGCCTTCCCAGCTGGTGTTCAATATCTTCATCGCTATCAGAATTTCCGCTTTCGTTGGAGGATTGATGTTCACCTGCAGGCAGTTCCGTGTGTGCAGTTGGTGGTGGTATTTCTGGGCGAGTTGCAAGTGATGGGCGATTCAAGAGTTCTTTGAAGCGATCAGCCCATTGTTTTATTTGCTCGCTGATCCTTCTTGGTAATCAAGTTCCAGTGAACATCTTTCATTGGTCTCACCACCTAGCTTGGTCTCTTCCTGAATAAAGACCTGATCATTTGGTATAATGTCTCGAGGTCTCTTTTACCCACGCCATACCTTCCTGGTTTGCTTCAGTTGCCGGCCAGTGTGTCGCAAAACTGTCTCTCCTGGCACTCTTCTTTATTTACTGCTTTATTCAATGTAGTGAGCATTGAACTCAGTTTCTCCTTCTGTTGCCCATCTATACATTGAATCATCTTTTTCGCCATGATTTTTTCTCCTATTAGCCGTTACGTGTCCGTTGAGAGCCACTATTTGTCTTGTATCTTCTTCCTTCTAAGAACAGTTGTACACGTTCCCTTGAATATCGCCTTCAGAGAGCTCCAGTGTTCTGCCACACAGGTTTCCTCGGTAACAACATTTAGCTTCTCCGACTGTGCTCCCTTGTAGTTTTGTCCTTCAGTTTCTAAATGTTGAACTTAAATTGCAGTGGTCTGTCTCTAGTTGTTCTGAAGGATTTCAGCTTCACTTTGTAAGTTCCTGATACTAGACGATAATATGAGTCCACATCTGCTCCCCTTCTCGACTTTGTATCCAGAAGACTGTGTCTCCACTTCCTTGAGCAGCGCTGAGATGAAATCTACCTGGCTTGTGGTATGTCCGTCAGGCGACATCTACGTTGCTGACCTTGCGTATATCCTTGTCTTTGTACACTCTGCCTCCGATCATCAGATCATTGAAAGCTCAGAAGTCTGAGGACAGTTTTCGTTCTCATTTATGTCCCGTAGGAAGAGCCTCTCAACCCATGATGAGTTCCCTTCCTGTATTATCTGCTCCCAGTTCGACTGGCATTCACGTCGTCCGTGAGGATTTTGATGTCACCATTTTGGATATTGTCAAACACTGCTTGTAGCTGTCCATCAAAATCCTTCTTCTTGTTTTGTTCTGCGCTGTTTTTAGATGCTTAGCATTGGATAATTAATACCTTTCTCCCCTCTGAATTGAATCTTGCTATCCTGATCTTGTGGGATGAAATTCGTTCCCACCGCATTGGTGGTTCTGGCTGCCACCGGCGAGATGATTAAAGCCACTCCATCAGTGTTTTGGTTGTCGTCTGGGTGACCAGACCAGAGTAGATTATTGACTTTCCAGTTGACAATTCCGACAGTCCACATCCATTTCATCTTCTTTCGCAGATACCCAGTATTTCTAAGGCATAACTTCGCCTCTTTTTGGCTACCTGGGCAGCCTTCCCAGCCTCGTACATTGTACGGACATTCCATGTACCCATTCATACTCCTGCATTCATCGAGAGAAGACACATCGGCTGACTGGCTTCCCGAAGGCCCTCACCAGCCCGCTGTGCCATTTCGCCCCTCCGATTTGAGCGAAGAATAAGTTTGTTTTTTAGAAGTTTGTATTTTTAATATTTTTCTTTGGCGTCGAAGTTTCTTTGGCATTTTGAATGGTTCAGTGGTGTATGGTTGCTAGTCCTACCCGCAACCCTCCCTGTTAACCCGGACTTTGGATCAGCAGGAAAACTAGCGAGCTAGTACACACGCTGATTGTCTATGATAATTAGTATCGTCTTATTTAACACTCTGAACTCAGCAGATGATAAGGTGGGACACTGAGTAGCAGAAACCGAACACCATAGTTATATGACAATACTTAAATATGGATGTCATCGCTAAATGCTTCAAAAAGTCCATCTTCATGACGTGATATTTTGATCAACCCTTATGTCAAGTAAACGTGCAAACAACTTCCGATAAAAACTAAGGGGAACTTTCATAGCATATAACTTTACAGGATTTTAAAAGGTAGGACGGTTAGAAAATATGAAACTCACATGCACAGGTCACATTGTTTCACATGTTTTGAATGAATACTTTCAAAGTGACTGTTGTGAAAGTGAATTGCAAACTAAGAAGACAGGGTCAGCAGTAATATAGAAACGATTACAATTATATTCCTGAAACCTAATCAAGACTATCGATAATTTAATAGTCTTTCACTATGACTTATATCGAGGTATAATGTGAGATTATATGGATTCCATTTGACATGCAAACCGGTAATAAGTAACCGTCCAGTGATTGTCGACACCACTCAGAGGAAAATTATTGTGTTACTTTCCTCCACAACATATTGGTAAGAGGTCATGTAACTGGAAATGTCAATAAGGAAAAATTTGGAAGTAAATGTTTTTCTGCATCTAATCTACACAATCGGTGGGCACAGTGCGCGATTATTAATCTGTGTACGGTTACACCTGCATACGGTCGTTGTCGGTGGATTTGCGTGAAATCTGTCCAGTTGTGTGTTCATTTTCGTTAATTTAAGACATCTGTAAATATGGATATTAGAAGAAGGACGACATACCTCTCTAGAGGTATCGATGGTCGTCCGTCGCACAATTACAGGTCATTTTTCCAATCGGCTCAAAGGAAGTATTACAATGTTGATCCTGATAGTGGTATTCGCATAGTTGGACCAATGTTCGAATTGACTGCGTGTGTGGAGTTAAAGGGAGAGTAAGTCTGACATTGTAGATAATTATTATGCAGCTTATGAAATGAGGATAGTCGATCCTATGGAAATAGATTTAGGTCAGGTTGAACCCCTTATACACATATTTATCATATGTCAGTTACACAGGAAGAGTGACAATGAACCAGACCTTGCAAAAAACCTTCAGTCGTGAGGTGAGTAGGAGGTAGGGATATATACGGACTCCAATTTTTCAAAGACGTAGTAAGATCAGCGCGTAAACTAGTGTTCGATTTGATGCTTGATACAAATCGGTAATTATTGCCTGGTTGCATTAGAGCTAGTTTCCTTAGTATCTTGAGTATATAATTCGATTTGTGTGTACACACCATCACGACCGAGGTGGGTGGTCCAGTCTGTATAAACACTTATTTGGATTCTCTCTAATTAACTATTGTCGTTTGTGTAGAAGATCAGCTTTTAACACCACTTAAGATTACACATAGTGAAACTTTATTCTGTTAAGTAGAACATAGAGACTTGTTTAGCGCGCATCATTTACGGTTACGTTCTAAGGATTGTACCAAGTGTTCACCAATACCCTGCAAATAATGGATTTATACCATCTCTATTGATGTTGTATCTAGTTAGTTCTATGGCGGGCAGCTGTTGAAGGAGTAGATGTTATCAGGATAGCCCGGTTAAATAGCGAAATTGAACCTTAAGGATGACCACGTAGGTACTACCAGAACAACGCGTTCTTGTCGAGAATAATAATTTGATGGAAATTTTTATGACTTTACTGTGCGGATGATATTTGATATGGTGATCGCTTATGAAAATGTGGCGAAGTTTTTTCTTTGCGCTTTGATTTAAAATCCTAGTTCGTCTCTACGTGAGTATTTCAGACTAAAGTTTGCATTTGCATCGGTCACTTGTAGTCATGTGAAAAAACTGCCGATGGAATTGTTTTGCACTCTGGTTCTAAATATGGGGCTCTAAAAATTCCTTTTTATTCTAAATAAACATTTAGTTATCTCTAAGTTTGTTTCTCTTGTATAAATGGTCAAAACGAGGCTCTGGGCAAAAGGCATAACTCTGAAACGAAGTGTTATTGTGGTACGTTAGTTCCGCCATGGGTATCCGTATGCATCAAGGAAAGGTAAAACGCCCCTTTTTATAACAAATTAGTTTAGACTGTTTTTGGGATAAAACTATTTCTCAGCTAAGAGACTTCAATGATTTCATTCTTCACTATCACACATAGTTTTGCTTGATGATTGTTTTTATCAGGTTTTAATTTTAAGTGCTTAATCATGAGCAAAACAGACTAGTTGCAAAGAATAGTGAGTACTGATCAAAATGTTATGCGAATTCAATAAAAGCTACATATATAATTGCAAAATTCTACAAAGTACTTGGTAAGCGAGTTGTTTTTGAATTTAATACTCGTACAGGAGACATTTAACGTAACTGAGGAGTAGCACAAACTGCAAAGCGGATATTTTTCTAAACATTCAAAGATTGAGGTCGTGAAATATTGAGAGGTTAAATATCCAGCGGTATAGTTTTCTGGGTTGATGAAATATTTTCTGTGTGATTGGCCTCAAGCAATCGCCCTGTCATATATGCCAGATCTAAATACAGTCATTCGCGTGGCCTATCAGACAACAGTAGTGAATCTACGAAATTTATCCTGCGGATGTCTGGAGATTCTTTTCGATATACTGCTGTAGATATACCACGTGCCTCAGGAACAGAAATCCCACTCAAAAATATTGAACTGTCATTCCACATCAGCTTTATGGCTACAATGATGAGTTTAATGCATGTACTACCAATCAAGTTACAGTTATCATATGGGGACCCTGGGTTTTCATTATCAGCTACCCATTCTCCAGTCTAGGCTCTTATTAACCTGCTAGTAGTTAATTCATTGGGAATCTCATGACAGTCTTGTCTTTTTGATGTAGTTTGTAAGACTACCAACTATACAATGTGCATCTCAAAATTAATTCTATGATATCTAATCGGTATACTAATATCTGGGTTATCTATGTATTTATACATATAAAACAAACGATTTCGTAGTAGGACATTTGTGAAGAGTGATTCAACCTAGAGAGATAACGCCAGTTTATGCAGTATAGCTTCGAAAGCGTGTTGATCTGATTTTTCTTGAACGTCCACTGACTGAATGTTAATTCTGTATGTGTGTGTATGTGTTAATTCTGTCCTTCTTAATGTCTGAGAGACATTGCCATTGAATGCGGAAGATGTTAAAAGACTAGTTGTCTTTAACTATCGTCTCTTGCTTTGTATCTTCTGTTTCAAGCTGTGTAAGTAATAATGAAGTTAGGCGTAGGGTGTCGGGTAGAGAGGAAGTTGGTCGATGAGGGTTTACAGCTTCATCTATTGAAATAGCTAAGATGGGTGTCACGCATGCCGAATCACCAGCTTTCTCGAAGAGCGATGTTACTTGACATTGGATTAGGTTGGAAAGGAGTATGGAGTGGTCAAATCAAAACATGTCATCAGTCTATGAATTCTTTGATAGTTAGCTTGAGCTATATATGGAGGTGTAAACTGCCTGGTTGGGGGGTCTAAAAATGCTGAAAACTGATGACCAGAGGCTGTTGGTGATATGACTGAAAATGGCTGTCAGTAACGCACACGCATTCACTCCTTGTAATTTCCCAGAGCCACTAAGCCCTCGTGTTATCCCATATTACTTTACTTTGTGCCGTACATTTCTTCTTATCACAATTTTTTGAATTTCTTTCCTCTACCTTTGTGCCACTTGAAGTGTTGCAACTTTTATTGCTGCACTTCTGTATGACAGTCCTTAAACTTTCAGTAGTTCGCTTTTCAAATGGTCCGTTTCTGATCTCTTTAGAATGTTTCAGAAGTGTGTTACTGTGTGAATATTTGGTCTAATATTTTTGATCTGTTAGAATTGTGTATACACCTTTGTCAGTTCATGTTATCGGTGTAACTCTACTGCACCTCAGTTTTTAATATCAGTTTGTTGGAAGATTCAGTGGTATCTGTCAGTAATGGTCGACATAAGCGTTTAAAATCTTGATCAACTGCTGAATAAACTTTCGAATTCCGTATGTGATACTTTGTAATATGAGTGTTAAAGTCAAAGGATTTTATACCTGCATACGAGGCGATACGTATCAAGGTAAGAAAGAGTCATGGTACTCTTATTGTTACACCATCAAGGAGTTTTTGGTTAGTTTTGATACAAACGGAGATCTTTTTCTTTTAGTAAATAAGAAAATATTGTAAAATTAGTGCATACATTTGATGTAATAGCCATTGTGCAATGGAATTATTATAGTAGTATGACTTGTTTCCAATATTTTAGTGAAGACGATTTTGAAACCATGTATCCAGATACATCTCTCTCATATGGTCCAACTATCTGTTCCTTCGGTTTGAAGTATAATGACCATAATTATGCCCTCCCATCAGGCTTAACGCCTCCTTCAATGGCCCCTCATTTAATGGATCTACAGGTACCGAAAAACAAATTCTCAGATAGCCCATCAAGTAATTTATTTTCCAAAAGTCTCTTCGCCCAAAAGCCAAGTTCTAAGTTTAGTAGTGCGGACATTCAAAAACATGGTACTGACAAGCAATCCGACAAGCAGGGTGCTCCAACTTCAAAACGCTTTACAACTGATGAAAGTGATGGCAAAAAGCACACTGAGGGGCCATGGGAATTGCAGTCTGAAGACTCCGAAGATAAAACGTCTTCTAATACTGATTCCAAAGATCACTATATGACTTCCCGCTATAGTTCACAAGTCCCAAACTATGAACAAATGGAATTACGTTGCGAACCTGAATTAAAGGTATGTTTTTCTATACAGTTTGTTTTGTGCCACAATGTCTTTTGTTTACGTATAATGAAGTTATGCAACGATGATCTTCTTCATGTTTTCCCTATTACAAATGACCACGTTTTCTAATACAACCGTCTTAGTTAATATATGATGAGTTGGGATTGGATGATTCACTATCATGTTACTCCTGGTGAACAGACAAAGCGAATTAAAGTAGGCCGTAGGTGTTTAAGACACCATACTCTTTATCTGCATATCGAGTAACAATAACACATTCTGGAGTTTTGATATAAGACAGAAAGGAAAGATAAAACCGATAAAGTTATAATCAAAGTGTAGATAACTGGTATTATGTATAGATAACTAGGATCAGTTTACATTCTTCAACCGTCGCCTTCTCTTGTCACATGGATCCCATCTAGGCAGCCTGAAATGCCCCACGTGTCTCAGGCTAACATTTAGTGACTTCGCAGATTGGTATTGTGTTCTGATCTGATTACCTTTCAGCTTCTCCCAGCTTAGTCCGACTTGAATCAGATGGTGAGTAAACTTGTGCTACATATCCAACCAGCTTAGGCAGTGGAGTTTCACTACTCCTTCAGTTAGGCTGTTCACTCTGTTTAGTACTCTATACCTAACTTCTACTCCACTTGCATGATAGCCTTATTAAATGCAGGTAATACAACTAAAATAAGTGATAAATTCTTTGAAGCGTGCATACAACCTTTACATTCAGTACTCATGTTTCCATTCCCTCCACTTTGTTCAAGGTGTGAATTATTAAAAAAAACTGTTCATATAGAATATTTCACATCTCTTTTATTTAAAAAACAAACACTAAACTAGGACTCACCATTTTTGTGTGACATTTTGAGTGCCGTACTTTGCATTTGCATTATCTGAAGGTTGTATAAAGGTAAACACATCGTAAGGACGAAGTCATCAAATTCGTAATTCCCCGTACAGTCAAAGCAAATTATTAAGTAATGTATTACAATTAGCATGAAAATGAAGTGTCGATGCATCTACGCCATTTTGACTCAGCGTGAACCATGTTATACTTATTGTACTGTCCTGCAGATCCAATCCAGGCAATCTGTTCCTCTGTACATCACAGCGACCGATAGTCTATGATTTCACTGATTAGTTTTAAGAAAGGTGAATTATAGGTCAGCATATGCGTCGATGGCACAGCGGTTAGGACTCTCGCCGACCATGCACATGGTCCGGGTTTCGATCACCTGCCGACACACACCTGATATCAATGGTCGGTCTGCAAAATTTGGGCTACCGATATCACATGCTGAAAATCCCATACATATACCATAAGTACCTTGTGGAATCAAGTTATAATAAAAAGATGTATAACTTAGGAATCCCTATGCAAGGTTGTCGGATGGAGTGATGACAACCAATCATATTCACCAGAGATGTGAAGTCTTCTGAATGGCATGGGTCAAACTGTGAATGTATTTGGCATGCTCTTCCCCTTTGTCTACTTTAAGGTACGAACTGTTCTCTACATATCCTGAATTAAAGTGATTGGATGTATCGATCATTTCTTTCGACTCCGTGGATCGAAAGGTACTATGACAATGTTTGACTGTGAAGAGAGTGCCAAGAAGTACATTGCACTAATCAAGGCACTCTATTCAAACTCACGTAGTGTAAGGGCTTATGGGGAATTGTCATCTGAATTGGTAACAACCAGTGGTGTCCGACAGGGATGTCCACTTTCCCCATTCCTGTTTAACTTCATCATAGATATGCTTATGGAAGTATCCTTAACTGAACGTAACGACTTAGGAATCGACTTGTTACCAGGGAATAGTCTTATGGACTTAGAATATGCAGATGACATAGTCCTGTTAGGGGAGGATGCTGACAAAATGCAGAGTTTTCTGAACACCTTGAGCAGCAATCTTCGTATGTTTGGCATGCGATTCGCCCCTGTAAAATGTAAGATGCTGCTACAGGACTGGACCACGTCACCTTTTAACTTAGTGATAGGGAGTGAAGTGATAGAACATGTTGACCACTTCACCTATTTGGGAAGTTGTATTAGCACCAACGGACTGATTGGCAATGCAATCTCAGCACGGATCCAAAAGGCTCGAACTGCTTTCGCTGACTTACACCATCTCTGGCGTAGGCATGACATTCGGCTATCAACCAAGGGACGTGTGTACTGCTCAGCAGTTTGCTCCGTCCTTCTCTATGGCTCTGAAACATGACCAATACGAGTTGAAGACATGAAAAGGTTGACTGCTTTCGATCATAGATGTCTGCGATCTCTGTCTCACGTCAGGTGGTATAATAAGGTAAGCAATGTTGACGTTAGGCGTAGTGTTGGGCAAAGAGGGAAAATCAATCGACGAGGCTATAAAGTTACATAGATTGAGATGGCTAGGTCACGTGCTGCGCATGCCTAATCATCGCCTCCCCCGACGGGCATTATTAGCTGATACAGGTGCAGGTTGGAAAAGAGTAACTGGTGGCCAAACAAAAACATGGGAAAATCAATCCATGAAATCCTTGACAGTTAGACTGAGTAAGGTAGGGAGATGCAGACTTCCGGGTTGGGGCCCTTGGGACTCAAGGAATCAATGGCTCTAAATCGTTGTCAGTGGCGCATGTATATTCTGTCTCTGTAATCTTTCATATTTCTTTCTACCATTACCCATTCTGTTTCGCTCTTATACCTGTCAAACTAAATTGATTCTCTTCACTCATCTTCTTGTCTACCTTTGTGTGCTATTTGGAACGTGGCAACTCGAACTGGTGCACTTCGGTGCCAAGTTCTATGTTGAATCCAGATAGATCGATCATTCCACTTACCTGACATGCTGCTTCAACCTTAATTTATTGACTCTGAGAAATTCTCGGTACAGATAGGTAAGATTCATTTTATACCTCCGTTAGGACATGTGTTATGTATGCCTAGTCTAGCCATCGCCTTCCTCGACGGGCAATGTTAGCTGACGTAGGAGTGATCAGGTTGGAAAAGAGCTAGTGGTGGTGGCGGCGGTCAAACCAAGATATGGCTTCATCGGTCAATGAAATCCACAACAGTTGGTTTAAGACAGTCACGTAGGGAAGTGTGAACTTCCTGATTGGGGTCCCCAGGACTGTAAAAACCACTGGCTGGAGACGATTGGTGTTATGGCTCAAAATCGTTCTCAATAACTGGCATAGATGCATCCACTCCTTGTGACTTATAATATCCAATAAAACTGTATTGTTCTTCCATATTACTATTCTTTTTGCCTGATACCTCTGTTTATTATCTCTGTTTTAAATTTCTTCTTACTCTCTTCTCTTGCTTTGTGTGCTAAGTGTAGTGTGTCAATTCGAACTGGTGCACATTGGCGCAGAAGTTCTATGTTGGAGCCAGTCAGTCCGTTATTTTCAACACCAGCGCTATACATGGTGACGTTTTAAAGTTGAGGTATGGTTCTAGACTTTCAGTAACTAGATCACGGTCCTGAAACCCTATTTGTCTGCTGAGATTCGGACAGTCACGTAGTGTTACCAGGATTAATCAAATTGTAGGTGTAACTTAAGGCCAAGCGCAAGTAGTTGTTTAATGACATTTCAGTTATTTTTGTTCGTAATCTCGAAAAGGATATAGAGTAAATACGCTTATATCACTGTAAACGATTTACGATCATGTTATCAAACGTTTCAAACCCTTGGTTCTTAAAACCTTGAGGACTCCAGAGAGACAGTCTCTGTAACGCCAAAAGCCAAGAGAATTGGTAACGACTTGATTCACAGATGTAGGCAAAACACGTCTACTATGTCGTAGAGTCATAAGTGGCATATATCCTGGATATTTCTCCTCTTTATCTACCTGTCATGTTTCCCATGTTTCTCGTTCATTAAATCTATCTGTCCGCCATTCGATATCCTTGACTCTGGCATACATATTTATATCCGCATCTATTTTCTACTTATAAATCTTGTTAACAACACCCGCCACACCCACACCCTTCTACGTGAAGTAGGCTGTTAATCAGTGACTTCATCAATTGATTCTAGGCTTTCGTTTGACTATCGTTATTATTTGCATTGCGATTCAGTTTTTACTTAACAGTAATACCACAAGTGTAACACTAATTTCACTATTTGATCTACCTTAAGTGTCTTCATTAAGGAGCACTGTTAAGTGAAGTAGATGTATCTCACAAACTGATTCATAAATGTTCACCGATTATATTTTATTATTATTGTTTCCTTTAGTTCCTAGAGAAACATAGGGCTTCAGTCTCACGTCCCCATTGCGTTCGGTTCTATGCCAACGTTTTCACCTGGCTCCACGTCTGCCCATATGCTTTCATCTCTTCACATAACCTCCTCCATGCCACCCTTGGACGACCAACTCACCGCTTCCCGTTCGAGTCTCACTATGGGGCCTGTCGTGTGATGTCACTTGATGGTTTGTTTTCTCAGAGTACGGCCAATCCACCTCCATTTCTTCCTGCATATTTGTCAGCGAAAAGTCCTCCATTTTCATTCATTTCCTTGAGACCTTCTCTACCCATGTCCATCGAAGTTCCCCTGAATCAATTTATCATCTCATAACTTTTTAATAACTTGTACATTTTTTCTTTCAGGTCATTGAAGTCCCTGAAGAGCTTGCAGTTTCACCTTCCCAACTAAGTGATTTGGATAGTGATACATCAGATGGCGAGTATGTAAATAAAGTAAGTGTACTGATTTGATTTTCCATAGTTTGGTTTCTAAGGGTTAGTTTTGTTTTTACAAGTTGATGACGGATTGATACTGATTTGAATCATTTTGTATGTTTGGTTGAGGTATTGTTACACAATAATTAAAAAAAGAGATTAAAAAAAACTTTACATAAAGTGACTATGTGTTGTTTGAAGTTAGTTGCCCGGGAACAGGTAACAAAGTTAAAACATCAAATGCGTATATAAATGAGAGAACATATTTTGTCCTGAGGAAGTTCGAACCAGTTTGCAGAACGAAACGTTGGAACTACTTATTTTAGCTTCGCTAAGATTTATACATGTATAATTTTTCCATATGGCTGCTTCCCATTTGGTGCCCAGTGTTTGTGGGACTACTCAGTTAAATCTTGATTATAAAAGTACTATGAAGTTAGTCACTTTCTATCCTAGTATTCTTACACAAAATGACGGTGTTTGTTGCCGTCATATAGTGACATATGATATTGTTATTCATTTCGTTTACCAAATATTCGAGCGAAGGATACTATGTGTTGTAAGACAGCTTATTCACATTTTCAAAAGACAACAATGCTAATATTCTCTGTTCGTTTCAGATTATTGTCCCTACTTCTGATGGATCATATGTTCAACAATCAGATGATAACACATGGGCAGCTAATAATGCATGGCGTGATGTTCGTTGCATTTGTGGTCATTCTCAAATAAAATCTGGATTAATTCGATGCCCGAAATGCAGGTGAGCCTTTTCTTTTGTAATTATGAATGATCCATATGCTCGGTTCAGAATTTTTTTCGTTACTTAAACTTGCTTGTATTAATGCTTTTCATTGGACGTCCTGTGGGGAATTAAGTGATTCTTATCTTCATATTAATTACAATCCCGTCGATAAATGTTGAAGAGCACAATCTTCGTTCACCTTTGTGAAAGATGTTTTATTGTGCACTACTTTGAATTAGGTATTACTTTGGTTTTTAGTTTTGTTACGATTCTGTTGAACCACGAGTTCGCCGTAACTTTTACTCCTTTCTCCGTCAAGTGTTACCTTGTACGAGAATGCATCTTTTCAAGGTGCCACACTATGAACAGCACAAAATAGGGATACGGTAAAAGACAAATATAGGTAAGGGAAGAAAGGATAATTAAATGAAAATCACTTCTTAGTTGCTAGATCCTTTCGCCTAAGATTCAAAGCAGCTTTCTCAACTTCGACTACAGTTGGAGGACTAATGTCTACGTAGTATTACGAACGTCTGGCGCTTCGATTACTACCGGATTGTTGGACATGCAGTTATGCCTAGGGGTGCTTGAAAACCCTGATTCCAAACATATGGTGTACATGGACTGCAGAATCCGAACAGATCGAATGGTATAAGAACCTATTTCGGTCACCAGAAACCATGGGAACGCTGCTCCACTACCACCTTGTGCATAAGGCTTCAAGTTAAAGGCCGCTTAGGACAGCCACGTGATTCGATTTGGACCTCCCAGCAGTATCCCAGCCCTCACACAAACTATAATACTTTGTGTGACGCATCTCTTGTTACACCTAAATGGACCATGTGTATGTTTTAATAACAATAACTATATAGTATTCAGGCTTGGGTTAGGTAGTGCTCAACTGTAGTGGATCTGCTAACCAGTTGAACTACTTCCTATAGTGTCTTGTCCAACTTTGCAGAAGGTAAGAAGGTTCCATTCTTCTCAGAGACTTTTTTGCCCCCCCCATCACAGCCTTTGATTTATTATTTTTTCTGTTTGCACAATAATATTTCGCTCGGTTTTAAATTACATTCCTTCTTTCATTCATTATTTGATGGTGATAATAGTGTAACTAACGTTTTTATTTTTTGTGATCAACAGTCTACCCGATCCAGTGGTTATTATTATCAATTTTATTTTGTTTTAGTGCTTGCCAACATGTACAGTGTATGGAGTCGTATTATAATGTAACTATGCCACGTTTGAGTGACGGTTACACATGTAATCTGTGTAACATTGATAATATGGAAGGTCGAACTTCGCCTAAAAGTCTATCGGATAAAAATCTTGCAGTGAATAAAGACGGTGCTGCTGTAAACGATCCGGCTGTTAATTCATCATCTGCTGAGGGCAACGGTGGAACTAAGTATGTCGAACTTGCAGCCGATAGAGCGAAGCGACTGGGTTTGCTGTCAAATACGACACTGGAATGTGATTGCCCCACACATCCTAGTTCCTGGCCAGGTCATCGTGGAAAGGAACTTGATGCTTCTGGACGTCCTGGATGGGCACCTGTGAATTGGGAAAAATTGGTAAAGTATAAAAATTTGTTTATTATTTTCCTATTTTATGCTTAGAAAATTGTAGGGGAATAGGTAACTTGTTTGTTTTCGGAAACAGTTATCTGCCTGGAATTTATGAGTTGGTCTTTCGCGTCTGAGTCATTGATCTGGTTTGCAGAAGAAATACATGTGTTTATGTTTATGCAACTCAATAAGTATGCATGTTGTCACACTGCAGTGCACTTTTTACTTTTATGTGTGAGTGCTGACGATAATACCTGGCTTCTCAAACTTTAGTGGGTTTCGAACCTATGACACAGTGGTTGTAAGTCGAATGTCAGTCATTGTGGGTTGAATTCTCACTCATCTTTGTATAGACACAAGAAGTCAGCCTACATATTAGTTGATCTGGTCTCAAATTATGTCTTAACCTTTTTCTGGGGACTGTTAACCAAACCATCGACTGGCATTCTTTACATTTCGAAACTCTACACACTTACCAATGTGTTTTCCGCGAATTTTGGTCTGGATACTCAATAACGTTAACAACTTTTCATATTCGCCTAGCAGTGCAGCTTGATGACGAATGTGTTCTGTGCAGGATTATCAGCTAGTTAGTTTGTGCACAGTTTATGTGAGAATAAGGCAACTGATAGTCTACTCTGTGTGTATTTTGAAAATTTTATTTATTTATTTTTAATAATTGTGCATTGAAGTTTATGTAGCAGTTTGATTAGTTTCCCGAGGCAGGGTCTCTAGCCGCACCCTCTCCCTTTACCCTGACTTAGGACCGGCTAGAAAACTAGCCAACTAGTAAACTAGACAGAGTGTATTTTAAAAATGCTGTTGTAAAATCATTACGTTGTCAACAAAAGTTTTGCTCACTTCCTTGTGAGCTTTATCCCGTCTTTCATCTATGATGAAAAGATCAAAATATCGATCTCTGCATCCCCTTAGTGAAAACTGTATCAAATGACTTTTCTTTATTTCAGCACTCTAATAATTTTGAGTTGTTGATAGCTACTTTCTGTCATTTCATTATACTTTGTTACCTGTGTCACCTAGGCGAAGACACTGACAAAATGCAGAGTCTTCTGAACACATTGAGCAGGAATCTTCGTATGTTTGGCATGCGATTCGCCCCTGTAAAATGTAAGATGCTGCTACAGGACTGGACTACATCAACTCCTAGCTTAGTGATAGGGAGTGAAGTGGCAGAGCGTGTTGACCACATTACTTATTTGGGAAGTTGCATCAGCCAGTGCCAGCGGATTGATCGCCGACGAAATTAAAGCACGGATACAGAGGGCTCGTTTCGCATATGCCAGTTTACACCATCTCTAGCTTAGACGTGATATGATATCCAGCTATCGACCAAAATGCATATGTACTGCTCAGCAGTTCGCTCCGTCCTCCTTTATGTCTGTGAGACCTAGCCATTCAGAGTGGAAGACATGAAAAGGCTGTCTGTCTCTGACCATAGGTGCCTGCGTTTTATCTCCCGTGTGAAGTATTTATTTATTTACTTATTTAAACTCAGAAAAAAACTTGCTATAATATGGCACCAAGAAAGATGCGCCACACAGTAATAATAAAACAGCATAGATTCAAAGTAAAAATACAAGTAGAGGACGGATAAAGAACTTCATCTGGAAGGAAAGCGGTTAAGTTCAAATAGTATTCGTTAACTATCATCAGGAAGGGAAGAAAGAAGGAAATCGCAACACGTTTTCCATTGATTACGATTCTTGGCCATATCCGATAACGTTTCGATCCATCGATTCGAGCTATCTCGCGGACCCCAACCAGGGAGTCGTGACACACCAACCGATGCTAATCTAGCACAAAAATCCTTCATCCCACCACGCTGCGTCATGGACTGACCACCCCTCCGCCTTTTCCATCCCGTCCCAGGGCTAGCGAACAGAGACCTGTACGGAAGCCTCTGGGATGACATTCGCAGCACATGTCCAAGCCACCGGAGCCGGTGTTTCCAGATGACGACATTCAATGAATGGTGATCTCCACTGTGTTCAAACACACGCCGCCGAACCTCAGAATTACTCACGCGATGATGCCATCGAACGCAAGCAATCCTGCGGAGACAGCAATGATCGAACAGCTCGGAGAGGCCAGGTTTCACAGGCGTAGAGCAAGGCAGCCCGCACCGAAGCATTGTATACCCGACCTTTGACAGCCAGGCTAACGTCGCGACGGCGCCATAGGTGGCTCAAGTTGATGTATGCCACCCTAGCCTTCATTATACGGTTGGAAATCTCATCCGTCACCCCTCCGCCAGCACTCACACAACTACCCAGGTACACAAACTTATCAACAACTTCAAGCGGTTCACCCGCAAGAGTGAGTGCAGGTACAGGCTCCTGCCAATCTTGTAACAGTACTTTGCACTTAGACGGCGCAAAGCACATACCATACTTACAGACACTGATCGCCAACTGATTAAGTGCGATTTGGGCAGCCTGCATGCTATCGCACAGTAAGACGATATCGTCTGCATACTCGAGGTCGAAAAGTCTATCTCCAGGTAGCAGATCTACACCACCTTCACGCACATCCTTCAGAGCTGACTCCAGAATGTCATCGATGGCAAAGTTAAAGAGAAATGGAGAGATTGGGCAACCCTGTCTAACCCCACTGTTGGTTGGGAACAGTGGTGATAGTTGGTTGTATGCCCTCACTCTACCTGAGGTGTTTCTGTATAGGGCTTTCAAGATGTTAACAAATTTCTCAGGTACACCTCTCTCTAACAGACAGTTCCAGAGCACAGTTCTGTCCAACGAATCGAAGGCAGCCCTAATATCAAGAAACACAACGATCGTTGGCCTGCAATACGTGTGGCGGTGTTCCAACAACTGACGAAGGGTGAACACATGATCAATGCATCCACGACCTGAACGAAACCCAGCCTGCTCTTCGCGAATCAATCCTTCACGTATTTTGCACAGTCTGCGAAGCAAGACAGCAGCCAATATTTTAGACGCGACTGGTAACAGACTGATACCCCTATGATTGTCACACGAATTACGTCGACCCTTTTTAAAGATGGGGACGATAATGGCTTCGTTCCACATTGATGGTACACTCTCTGTCTCCCACACCTTCCTGAACAACCCAGTTAGAGCCATTGTGAGAGTCTCGCCACCATCTTTAAAAAGAGCCGGGGGTAATTTGTCTGGGCCGGGCGCCTTATGGCGTTTCAGAACTTGGAGTTCCTTACGGACCTCCGCTTCGGTGGGTGGGTCGGTACTAACCGACCAAGGAGCACTCGGGCTAATGATAGTAGACACTGAAGCTGGTGGCCAGCTAAACTGCTTCCCGAAGTGCTCTGCCCAGCGTTCCAGGCGTCTTTTCAGGCTGGTAATTGGAGTGCCATCTGCCTCACAGACCGTCTCGCTGACACCTTGTTTCTTGCTGCCGGTGGCTCGTATGAGTTGGAACAGCTTCCGACTGTTGCCAGATGCAGCAGCTGACTCCATCTCACACGCACGTTCTGACCACCAGGCTTCGCGGTCCTTACGTAAACACTGTCTAATCTTGCGCGTGAGCGCCTTTCGCTGATTGTTGTATTCGCTGCCAGCCGGAATGGACCGGCGTTCATCCATGAGTTGCAAGGAACTCGCAGAAACCCAGTGGTTGTTAGCGGAGCATTCTTTCAAGCCGCAAGCGGCTACACTCGCCTTTTGCATGGCACCTTGCACATGAAGCCAATGTTCATCTATACTACTTGGGGGGTTGCTGGCAAGCATTGTTTTTAACTCATTCTGATATTTCAAAGAAGTAGCAGGTGCTACTAGTTTGCTCACATCAACGCTTAGACGACGGCTTTTACGAACCCCACCAAATCGCAAGACGAACTTGGCACACACTAACGCATGATCGGAGTCCAGGCATGTGCTCCAGAAGGAGCGACAGTCTTGTATGCATCCTCGCCACCGGAAACTGACCGCAATATGATCAATCTGAGTCCAAGCTTGCTTCGCAGAGGGAGGACGCCAGGTAGCGCTACGGCGATGGCTGTGCCGGAAGTTGGTGCTGGCTAGAAATAGGTTGTGATCCGCGCAAAGCTGCAGAAGACGGTCCCCATTATCTGACCTGCGACCATGTAGTCCCCACTGACCACCTAGACGATTCTCCTCTGAGCTTAGACGCCCGACCTGTGCATTCAAGTCCCCAGCCAGCACTACGATATCCCTCCGACCCGCCTGTTTCAAGAGATCGCTCAGTTGGTGATAGAACTCATCCTTCATTGCATCCGGGCTGCAATCCGTCGGTGCATAGGCAGAGACAACAAATAGACACCGCCTATCTGGCCTACTACTCCTTACTTTCGTATAACCTTCCAGCCTCACAGCACATAAACGACTGTTAATGGGAATCCAGTCGAGCAGTGCAGCTTCGGCTCTAGCGCTCAGTGCGACACCGACACCAGCTACGCCGGATGCCGACGCCACGGGGTCCCCGGATAAGCGCAGGTGGTACATACTACTAGAACTTCCAGATGGAGAGGATAGTCGAAGCACTGGGGTCTTGAATGCGGGTCTCCGAAATGCAGCAGACATCGATAGCGAGGCTTTCCAAAGTTCTTACCAACCCTTCCTGTTGTCCGATTTGCATCAGCGTCCGAAAATTGTAGGTGGCCAGCTTAAATACGGCACGCGGTTTCAGGATATCTGTGTTAGAGGTCACATCGGGGACAACCATTTTGTGGATTACTCACTAACATCTTGAAACGACACAGATAGGCTGGGAATCTAGACAAAGGCGAAAGGCTGTCGAAGGTTAAGAAGTCAAGTTTAGCAAAGGTAAAATACAGGAATTTATGTATACAAATAAAAGTAAGGTAGGAAGAACACAAGTTACTTGAGGCATCAATATTACTTGAAATCATTGTTAATAGCGGGCGATGAGTTTCGAGGAGAGTTTGTTGCTTTATTTTATTCATTGTGTGTGTGTGTGGGGGGGGGGAAATCAATAGACGAGGCTGTGAAGTTACATCGATTGACATGGTTATGTATGCCTAGCCTAGCCATCGCCTTCCTCGACGGGCAATGTTAGCTGACGTAGGAGTGATCAGGTTGGAAAAGAGCTAGTGGTGGTGGCGGCGGTCAAACCAAGATATGGCTTCATCGGTCAATGAAATCCACAACAGTTGGTTTAAGACAGTCACGTAGGGAAGTGTGAACTTCCTGATTGGGGTCCCCAGGACTGTAAAAACCACTGGCTGGAGACGATTGGTGTTATGGCTCAAAATCGTTCTCAATAACTGGCATAGATGCATCCACTCCTTGTGACTTATAATATCCAATAAAACTGTATTGTTCTTCCATATTACTATTCTTTTTGCCTGATACCTCTGTTTATTATCTCTGTTTTGAATTTCTTCTTACTCTCTTCTCTTGCTTTGTGTGCTAAGTGTAGTGTGTCAATTCGAACTGGTGCACATTGGCGCAGAAGTTCTATGTTGGAACCAGTCAGTCAGTCAGTTGCTCCGTCATATGAAAACTATTAATTTTATTTTCAAATGTCAGCTTATTGTTATCTCCTCATTTTTATTCAGTCTGTTTTTTTAACACTTACCTATGGTTAGAGTGAGTGTTCCATGATAATATCATCGTAGTAATTTCCATTATTGTTAGCTTTTTCGAAACAACTCACCATTTATTTGGCCCTATAAAGTAGGTAATAAGACTCTATTCGTATCCGTATTATTATTTATTATTTTTCCCTTGGGTTCCGAAAGGAACATATGACTTAAACAACACATCTCCACTTTCTTCTATTTTCTGCCATCCTCTTCGTTTGGGTTCATGACTGCCCAAACTCTCCTCTCTTCTATACGCGATTTCCTCCATGTCACCCTCGCACTGACCCACTCGTCGCTTACCATGTGGATTCGATTCGAGGGATGGCCTGGCGCGCTATGTCATTCGACGGTCTCCTGCCGATTCATCTCCATTTTCTGCCACATATATGTTTAGTGATCGGCTTTTGGTTTGTTCTCAATCAGAGTTTATTGTTACTAATTCATTCCGCCTGGCCGTTAAATCTTCAGTTTGGAACCAGTGAAGATTGCAGCTGTTGATAAAAGTCTGCAACCTCTTGAAAATCCTTTTTGTGACACGCCAAGCGATTTTCTGAAAATGAGAATCTCGCTGTTTATGCTGAGTCAGTGTAGCCGATTTCCAAACGGGTTCCATACATTTATTCCCCTTAATGAATCTGAACAAAGCAAGAACTACAGTTGTTGCGGAATAAAGTAGTACCATCTTTTATGTTTTTGCCTTCTCGTCAGCTGCTTACAGGGCAAAGACATTATTTAATATATCTACAAAAACAATTTTAACATTTTTGCAGAGTTCATTTTAAACAAAAATCAATCGATCCGTGTATGCACACATTAATAATATATGCATATGTACATGCAATATTAAACACTATTCGGAACAATAATAATCATACACAATGGAAACTTTTCATCACTTCGCATTCAGATGAAAGATACGTGAAAATATCCTGTTACCAGGGCAAAGAAAGACTTCCTTTTGAGTTTAATCTTGCTGTCGTGATCCTGGGGGATGAAACTGGTTCCCACCGCATTGGTGGCTCTGGCTGCCACCGGCGAGATGATTAAAGCCACTCCATCAGTGTTTTGGTTGTCGTCTGGGTAACCAGACCAGAGTAGATTATTGACTTTCCAGTTGACAATTCCGACAGTCCACATCCATTTCATCTTCTTTCGCAGATACCCAGTATTTCTAAGGCATAACTTCGCCTCTTTTTGGCTACCTGGGCAGCCTTCCCAGCCTCGTACATTGTACGGACATTCCATGTACCCATTCATACTCCTGCATTCATCGAGAGAAGACACATCGGCTGACTGGCTTCCCGAAGGCCCTCACCAGCCCGCTGTGCCATTTCGCCCCTCCGATTTGAGCGAAGAATAAGTTTGTTTTTTAGAAGTTTGTATTTTTAATATTTTTCTTTGGCGTCGAAGTTTCTTTGGCATTTTGAATGGTTCAGTGGTGTATGGTTGCTAGCCCCACGCCAACCTTCCCTTTTAACCCAGGCTTGGGACCAGCTAGAAAATTAACAAGCTAGTTAACTAGGTGAGGTTTATTGTATTCGTACCAGCCTGAAATTTTGTCGTGCTTTCTGAACTATTCATAATATATTAAGTAGTATCGTTCGATTATGCTCTACCAGATAATTCATTTTCTTCAGATAAAATGTACCAATTTCTGCAGGTTCCGTGCATACTACCTTCCAAATACACATAATTTATCTTCTACAAATCAGCTAACATTAGTAGAACATTTTAGACATATTAGACAGCATGATTTGAAACAGTATTATGTTATCAAAAGGCTGGTCACTTTAGAAACGGTCACCATTTCACTAATTTTGTTACTTTGTCTGACTTGTATTCTTGTGTGTAGATTGTCTCACAGTTAGGTTTTCATAAGATTCGTCGTGTTATGGTGGATCATTGCTTATAACGCGTTTGTGTGATCACCAGCAAAAATTTCAGCTTCTTAACCAACCACCTATCTGTCGTCTGACGTGTGTATTCTCACTTTGCAGTATCACTCAATCTTTGTCTCTTTTTTTATAAGCCCTAGAACTCGAACACGTACATCTATGCGACATGTCTATGAATAGATTCGCTTATTATTGTCTGTCTCGTATTTGGAACTCTGTGAAATTGTATTTTTAGTACTTAAATGTGTACATGAACATATATTAGAGTACCACAGGGCTTTTTCAAAGATTTGGCTTAACGTGATTACGTTCATCTGTCTGTCATTTTCCTCGCTGATTTGTTGTCATCAGTGTATACAGTCTAAACTAAAAACAAACGTAGTATTCATATAACTGGCTTAATTATAAAGATAAATTGGAATAAAACAATTCCAACAGAGTGGTGTGTGAACACGGGCAGTAATTTTGCTCGAGATATTACCAATTACAAAACTTATCATTGTGTGTAAACTATTGAAATATAATTATACTTTATTTGAGTAAATTGTCTGCCTCTTAATTTGTGACAGAAATTTAATAGACACAATCGGCTAAGCTTTTTTGTAATATGACTTATCTTAGATTTAAATATTTGTACTGACAAGTGCAACTCGTTTACAGCTATACGTTTGTCAAGGGATCAAAATCACTCGACTTATTAAATGTGGTAAAGAAGTGTCTATGAATTTCATAATTCTCGTGTTAAGTATACAGTTCCATCATGAAGGGCTTCAGCAGCATACCTTCATTATTCTTGGTTCTACGCTACCACTTTCAACTGACTCCATGACTGTCCACACAATTTCATTTCGTCTTGACATGATCTACTTCATGTCATATGGGAAACTCAACCCTCATAGTTCTCATTCGGGTTCCACTTGAGGATGTTGCGTTGCGTATTATGTCAGTTTACGGTCTCCATTGCACATGTTCAATTCATCTACATTTCCTTCTTCACATTTATTGGGCAATTGACGTTTTGACCTTCAACTAATCATCGACTTTTTACTCTACCATTTTCAATATTTTGCACAAGAAAAAGTAGTCTACTACAGTTGCTTATTTATTTTATCCTATTGAAGCAGTATTTAACAATGATTCTTCCTTATGATCTCTAAAATGGTATTTCTCTTTTCTAATGTAGACTGAACTTTCTCGTTCTGGTCGCAGACATCCTGGTGATACAGATGTAAATCTTAGAATGCCTTCACCTCCAAGAGCATCAAAACGGAAACAGGATTTGTCTTCTACATCATGTAGGTGTTAATTTCATATGATCTCAATGCAAAGTAATAGTATAAATGAGTGGACTATTAATTTAGACCCTCAGCTGGTTGAATTTTTTTGTAGATGCTCATGTATTGTTTTATCTATGATCATTCATATCTGAAAATAGGCTAATAGTCTTTATCCCAATATGTGGGCCCATAACAGATACAAGACACTAGCTCACCTTTAAACAGAATTTCGTTTTGGTCTATACCAAAATCGAAATTCCTTTTCATGCCGTATGTCAAGGTACTTAACTCTAAGTTCCTATTATCTCCGAAGACGCTCGAACCGACAATTACTATGAGCGATATTGACCTTAATTCCAAAACACAAGGAACGAGAAGAATTTGTATTGTTCGGCAGTTGAAGTCAATACTCTGTAGAAAGTCTATAAACAGATGCTTTACGAGGAATGTACTGTACTTTTATTCGTATTCTTTCGTCTTCTTCCAACTTGTACACGACATATATCGTTCGCACCTTCGAGTTGCCCGCCAGTGGCGACCAAGGCCAATGAGCCAACGTCCAATGTTCACATTCATTTACACTGTATTTTAACATGAGATATGCACACTAGTGCTTCAAAAATACTGGCATTTCAAATATTTGTCAACAGTTTTGAATTTTTAGTGACAGTACTCGGTTTTTTATTCTCGCAGTATATTATCGCTCGTGTTGAAGTATAAGCAGTTTCGATCACATTTTATAGAGTTGGTCATGCAGTCAGTGATATATCCTTTGATTGGTTGATTTTGCGTTGGTTTTCGATAAGACTGGACAGTCGTCCCTACTTTTCGAAAAGACCAGAACGGTAGATGGTCTCATTCTGTGAAACAGGTGTATGTTTGCATGTAAACAGGGATACTCCGGCCAGTAATTGTTTTACTCAGTTATGTACAGTATGGAGTGTTCAGATTTAACCTATTCGACCTAAGTGAACAGTCAAATTTTATTATAGCATGCATTGCAATAATAGACCCTCGAGTACACCCCTCGAATGCAGTAAAATCGTCAACAGCGTGAAGCAATTTAGCATATATTAGGCTATCAGTACGCCTATCAAGTGTATTATGCCGTGACTCTCTGCCTAGGCCATCAATACGACTAAAGGTATTATAGTAGGGCAGTCTGGCTTCAAGGGTGAAACTGGCAGCCACCAGCCTTAATAGATTACCTTGCACCCAAGAATAGTTGCTTAATATGTGACTCATTAACTTAGAACTGCACACAGTAGGTCTCTTCAGGCTGCTACACTTCGTAAAATCATCCATATAAGTAGAAAATGAGGGTTTAATGAAATTACAATGAATTAATTTATTAAAGCTTGAGAATAAGTATCTGAAAATAAATAAACTTTTGAGGAACTGAAAAATGACAAAATTTTCAACCATTAATTGTTAATATCTCAAGGACTCCCACCTAACATTTTACACCTCCTTGTGTACTACAAACAAACAGTCAATACCTATTGCTTTTTCAACCGAACCACAATTCAGTTGAGATAGCCCGTCAAAGGTAGCTATGATTGCAGTTTACATCAGATATATTTTGAGAACTGCAGTTGATGACGCTTTATTATTATTATTGCTCCCTTGGGTTCCTAGTGGAACATAGGGCTTCAACTGCACGTCTCCATTTGCTTCTGTCTTCTGCTGTATTTTTCACCTGCATCCATGTTAGTCCATACTCTTTCAACTCCTCTTCACACGATCTCCTCCATGTCACCCTTGGACGTCCCACACGCCGCTTCCCTTTCGGGTTCCACTCGAGGGCTTGACGCGCGATGTCACCCAGCGGTCTCCTCAGCGAGTGTCCGATCCATCTCCACTTTCTCCTGCATATTTGTTGGTTGGCGATTGGTTCTTGCTTTGTTTGTTCCCATAATTCCTTGTTGGTGATTCTTTCCGGCCATCTGATCTTCAGTATAGAGCGAAGACAGTTGTTAATAAAGGTCTGCAGCCTTTTGGAAATATTCTTTGTGACCCGCCAAGTTTCTGATCCGTATAGAAGAACTGACTTTACGTTTGTATTGAAAATCCGACGAATTTTGTTGTTGATGCTGAGTGACGAAGATTTCCAGATTGATTTCAGGTTGATGAATGTGTTTCTCGCCTTCCCGATTCTCGATTTGACATCCTCGTCCGCTCCTCCTGTAGTTGAGACAATGCTCCCTAGATAAGTGAATGAAGTAACCTCTTTCAAATCCCTCCCGTTGATGGTGATTGACGTTGGATGCTGTTGCTGTTGTTGGTTGGTTATTTTCATAACCTCCGTCTTGTCTATGTTCACTTGGAGTCCTGTCTTCTCCGGCTGCTTCTTCGACCAGTTTGTCGGTTTTCGCTTGTAAGTCTTCGATTTGTGTGACATCAAACATAAATCATCCACGCGCGAAATCCAGGTCTTCTAGGTTCTTCACGTCGGTCCAGGATATCCCTGTCTTCTCGTTTCCCACTCACTGTCTGACGCATAATCCAGTCCACCACAATTAGGAATATCATTGGTGATAGTAAGCACCCTTGTCTGACTCCTGTGTTTACTCCAAACGCCTCGCTGAGTTTTCCGTTGTGGATCACTTGACATGTGCTGTTGTCGTACAGCTGTTGAATAAGGTTGATGAATATTTGGGGTACGCCATAGTACTCGAGTAATTTCCAAATTACTTCACGGTCAACGCTGTCGAAGGCCTTCTCAAAGTCTATAAAGTTGAGGTAGAGGTTTGATTGCCATTCCATGCTTTGTTCTTGATGATGATGCGTAGAGTTGCAATTTGGTCAGTACATGATTTGCCTTTCCTGAATCCAGCTTGTTCTGGTCGGAGTTCTGTCTCCAGTGCGTCCTTTAATCTCTCCAGGATGATGCGACTCAGGATTTTACTTGGCGTCGATAGGAGCATGATTCCTCGCCAGTTCTTGCAGAGTGAGGCCTAAGTCGCCCTTCTTTGGTAGTTTCACGAGGTAACCTTTCCTCCAGTCAGTAGGCACCTTTCCCTCCTTCCAGACCTTTTGCAATAATGGAGTCAGCAGCATGTCTGCTGTCGTCTCTGGGTCCGCTTTCAGTGCTTCAGGGGGTATTCCATCTGGTCCGGCTGCTTTTCCAGCTTTCAGAAGCTTGATTGCATTCAAGACTTCAGCTCTCGTTGGAGGATTGGTGTCAACTTGCAGTTGTGTGCGCGCTGTTGTTGGTATTTCTGGACGGGTTGCAGGTGATGGTCGGTTCAAGAGTCCTTTGAAGTGATCCGCCCATTGTTTAATCTGTTTTTCTTCCTTGGTAATTGGGTTCCCTTGGCTGTCTTTTATAGGTTTCGCTTGTGTTGATCTCTTCCCGGATAGAGATTTGGTTATCTGATATAGTGTCCTCAGGTCCCTTTTGCCTGCTGCCTTCTCAGCTTCAGTGGCGAGGTTGTCGTAGAATCGTCTTTTGTCCTTCCTAGCACTCTTCTTCACTTCTTTGTCCAGTGCTGTGTAAGTTGAGCTCAGCGTCTCCTTCTCCTGTCCGTCCTTGCATTGAATCATTTTCTCTTTCACCATTCTCCTCTCTTCTATTAATTTCCAAGTGTCCGTTGAGAGCCATTCCTTGTCTTGTCTCTTCTTTCTTCCTAGAACCGTTGAACACGTTTCGTTGAGAATCGCCTTCAGAGACTTCCAATGTTCTTCCACGCATGATTCTTCAGTGATGTCGCGTAGTGTTTCCTGCTTTGCTCTGACAGTTGCAGTGAAAGTGTCTTTTGTGGTTGTGTCCTTCAGTTTTGAGTGTTGAACTTGCATTGTGGCCTATCTCCAGCTATCCTCGAGGCTTTTAGTTTCACCTTGAAAGTCCCTTCTACTAGATAGTGGTCTGAACCCACATCTGCTCCTCTCCTTGACCTTGTGTCCAGTAGGCTCCGTCTCCACTTTCTTGAAATTGAGATGAAGTCTATTTGGTTTTTGGTGTTTCCATCTGGTGAAATCCATGTCGTCTTGTGTATATCCTTGTGTTTGAAAACACTGCCACCAATCACCAAATCATTGAAGGCGCAGAAGTCTGAGAAGAGTTCACCATTGTCGTTCATTTCACCGAGGGCCTCACGACCCATGGTGAGTTCTCTTCCTGTGTTGTCTCCTCCCAGCTTCGCATTCATGTCGCCCATCAGGATTTTGATATCGCCATTTGGGACGTTGTCCATTATTGTTTGTAGTTGTCTGTAGAAATACTCCTTCTCTTGTTCTGAGACGTTTGTAGGCGCATAGCATTGAATGACTGTAACTTTGTTTCCTTTTGAGTTGAACCTGGCTGTCATTATCCTGGAGGAGATTGGTTCCCACTGCATGAGAGCTTTGGTTGCTGTTGGTGACATCATGATGGCCACTCCCTCGGTGTGCTCGTGGTTGTCCTCTGGGTGGCCGGAAAAGATTACTGTCTCTCCAGTAGGTAGTTGGCACCTTCCAGTTCCGTTCCATCTGCTCTCGCAGATTCCCAACACTTCTATTCTGTACCTTCTCATTTCAGCGGCTATCTGGGCAGCCTTTCCAGTTTCGTACATTGTACGAACATTCCAGGTACCCATCCTTACTTTTGCTTTCATCGAAAGAAGGCACATCGGCTGACTGGCTTCCCGAAGGCTTTCACCAGCCTGCGTCATTTCACTTCCCCGATTCCAGCGAAAAGTAAGGCTATTGCTTATGTTTTTAGAATTTTTAATATACTTATTCGTTGAAGTTTCTGTAGCGATTTGGTTGTTTTACAGAGGTGGAGTTGCTAGCACCACGCCCCAACCCTCCCTCTTTACCCGGGCTTGGGACCGGTGAGAAAACTAGTAAGCTAGTAGCCTAGCAAGCTAGTATCTGGCGAGGTGATGACGCTTTGAAGCTTCCCTATTGACAGAATCCTCTATGTCTAACCTTATTTTTATTTGCTGTATTGCTCCATCTTATGCAGAAAATATATCTCAGAAATATACTGTCAAATACGGCTAATTAATACATATCATAGAGTTATTATTAGAAAATTAAAACACCTTTATGTTGCAACGTTCATTCAAAGTTTTTGCTCTCAGACAACCAGTTATTCTTTTAAAAGTGTAATATATCTTATTCCCTTTGTATATTAATAAAATTTCATTTATTTCTTTGATTTTATCTCCATATGTATTTAGATAATGATGCAGAAGTTACAGCAGTTGATTCAACCTCTGAGAGAAGTTCTAACGCTCCCGTTATGATGCCAGGTAGTACAGATGAATTGTCTTCTGTTGATGGAACACCTGTTAGTACTCCAACAAATACTCCTGTAAAAGCAGGACCTTCCCATCCAAACACCCCTGTCACTCCAAGTACACCTGTTAGTACTCATACTCCTGCTACTCCCGGGCACAGCAATCCTCAGAATACAGATAGTAGTCCACGTCGTCCTAAATCAAGTACTCATAATAAAGCCAGGTATGTACAATCCAATTTCCCATTTTATATATTTGAAAAACATATTGTTGTTGCAATTAAACATCAGTCGTGTTGTAATGTCGTTGCCTATTTTTGTTATCGATTGAATAGTAATTACCGGTCTTTGTAATTGTTGAATATCTTGAAACTAACTGTTTCTGTCATGTTTTCATTTTGTCGTTGAATGTAATAATAATAAAGCTTCCTGAACCGATTTTATGTTTTGAAGCTGTAACCAATACGAAATGCATTCATGACTCGGTGCACTTATAAATATTTCTTACTCCTAATTGATAAAATTTTAAAGGGTACTGACAGTATCAAAATATCATATAAGCATTGTCCCCGAATCTCCAATCTTTGCGGTTATGTAGTCGTAAGAATGGTTATGCGCTAGTTAGCTACTGAACATCAACTGGCATAATATTACTGTGTTAACTACTCTATATAATACTATCAAACTTGTTTTCAGTTGTCCTGTTGCATTATTCGGAGATTCGATGAAATTCTTGGACGATACTAACTCTTTGTATCTGTTTCTCGCCTATTTTTAATAGCTAGTCGATTCCTGCCATACTGTTTTGTATATTGATAGTACCTCAAATCATTATTAAGAAACTAGTCGTCTTTGGCCATTAGTGTTTGTGCTGTGTCTCGTGTTAAATACTATAATGTAGTCAGTAATATTAGGATTAGGCATAGAGTGTTAGGCGACGCAGATAAATTCAGTTAATGAAGTTGTGAAGTTACTTTTGTTTAGAAAGCTAGAACACGTGTTATTCATGCTAAGGCAACACATAACTCGACGGCCAATGTTAGTTGACATAGAATTAAGTTTAGAAAGCGGTTAGCGGTTATAAAATCAGCTCATTTCGTCAGTTCATTAAATCCTTAACTGCTTGCTTGCGCCACAGTAGACAATAGATTTAAGTTGCCTAGTTGGAGTCCTTGGGCTGCTAAGAACCAATATCTTGAGGCTATTAATGACATAGCTTAAATTCGTTCTCAATAGGACAGATGTATTCACTTTTTGTAGTTTCCCAGATGCATTTTGGGACTAAGAACAGTTGTATTCTGTTAACATTCATTGTTACATTATGACTCTGAATGAGGTCAGAGAGATTTTCCGAGTCAGGACTGTCAGAACTCCCTTGGCCTTGTTTCTTCTGTTATCAGAAGTAATATACGCTTATGAAGAATTCCTTCAGTACACCTAATGGAAATACTTCTCTTTTCTGTTATTTCTCAACTGTCACTTTCCTTTCGTATATTCCTCTGTGTACTTTTGGTGACTGACCCATCTTTTAATATAGAATAATACTGTGCAGTTACAAATATGTGTTCCCTTATTACCTATCTTTTGCTTTCACAGGGATAGTTGACTTTTTTATGTCTATTTTCTTGTTTTCATATTTCCAGGAGAGTACTGTTTTCTGCAGATGGATCTCCTTCATCTAAACGTCGTTTCGATTCACGAACAAATCCTCTTGGCGCTGCATGGGCTAAAGACTACCAAGAAGCTGAAAGTAATGTATATACGAAAGCTATACTAGAACGTGTTAACACTAGAATGTAAGTGAATTATTACAAACATCAAAACGTTGCTATAACTAACTGACACTATACAGTACCTTTCACGTATTGAAAATGATAATTTAGCCTTTATTCTAAATTGTTCATTGATTTCAAAGCTTGATGCATAACCAAGCGATGAAACAGCCTTTCTCTGCATTTGAAGTACTGACTGAAATCAGTTACTCGATTTCAAACCACTACAACAACTTATCTAACTCTCTTCCATCTTCAAAAAATGATACCGTTACATTTAATGAGTTTAGATTGATTCAGCTTGAGCATTTCATAAATAAACAAATAATTGAAAGCCCATCTACCCAAAAAAGTGTTAGGTGACTAAAGTACTCTGGTTCTAGCAAGTGAAAGTAATACACTACTGTTATGACTGAATGGAACTGTCCTGTCGCCAATTTGCTATAAATAAACTGAGCTGAATAGACCCGTTACTACTTTGTTATGTCTGCGCCTGTTAATTACTATAACGGTAATGTACTCTACTGGTGCGCTAATACATCTATTCGTCCGTTGTATCTTCTGATCCATTGAGTCACGCAAATATCAAAAGGCAACGGCTAGTCTGTAACTGTAAAATATTGTATTGTACATCCATTAGGAAACAAAACATCATATTTATATATTTAATTCATCACCATGCTGTTGTCTCACAACCGTGGGAATTAACTGTTCTTATTGTCTAGTAATAGCTATTCTCAGTGGTTGGGCGATGCGATGAAGACATCAGACGATGAATTGATCACACACTTAACCACAATATGCGTGAAAAATGATACATTCACATAGTAACTCCATCACGAGATAAGTCACACGATTCGTAAGAAAGGATTATACACTATTTTATGCTGGGTCCTCTTAACTACAGAACTAATATGTACAGATTTTAAAACTGTTGGGAAAAGAAATGGTATGTTGCTCAATAACCACATGTAACTGCATGCAGTTAGCAATGAGCCACACTTGTCAGGTTGGTGGTTGAAAGAGATTTCACCCTTTGACCCAGTGGTTGGAAGTCGAACGCCTAGAGCACTGATCCACAGCTCCACAGATTTGTTACATGTAGATAGATGCATCTCTTTGTGAAATTCTATGTTGATTTGTTGCTTATCCTTTTTCCAATGTTGGTTCAATTGTCACTAGTAGTCTGATGTCAAGTGCTTCAGTGCTTGTAGTTCACCTCTTTGTCTACGAAAGTTGTCCTGTATAAGTGAATTATATTGGACGTCTTTTATCTTTTAAGGTGCTAGAGAGGGGTTCATATGCAACAGCTCATGTAGCAGTTTACAATTTCCACTTTCAAATGATTTTCTAAGAATTGTGGAAAATCATAATATTCTAATTTATTCTTTTGTCTATTTATTGGTTATTATCATTTTGAAGATGTAGCTCTTTGACTTAAGCACTTGGTTTTCAGTCGATGAGTGGCGATGGGTTCGAGCCCCGCTCCTTCTAATTCAGCCTAAATAATTGGGTAATATTATCAGCTCTCACACAATAATTATAGTCCTAAGCGTGGCTCATGGAAAATCTGTTCTAGCTAATTGAACTTAAACCAAGATTATTTTTTTAAACTTAGATATTTGGATTCACTAGAACTGATGTTCTTTCTACCTTTCCATTTATTATTTTTTTATTACATCTAATTACAGTATGTGTGCTTTCTTTATAAATTGTTAATTAATAGATCTGCTAACGCTGAACGAAACCATAAAATACCACCAGCATGCTTAACTCGAAGTTCACTTTGTCGAGTTGTGCTTTTTGATCATAATGAAAAGGTGGGAAATTATTTTATCTTTCTGTGTAATAGTATCATTATTATTATTCTCAGTCTAATGTGTTTATATATTATTTCAAATTTTGTGAATTGTGACTGTTATTGTCCAATGGTAATAACCCTGGATTTTTGATCCAAGTCTTCTGTTAATATATGTATGATATGAACCCCTGTTGACAGTTATTGTAAAGACATGTAACGGCTAATAAGTAAGCCTTGCAAATTGCACATGCCTCTCACCATCTATATTTCGCAAACAGTTAAGGCGAAAAACGAAAAGGGCAGATTGAAGCGCTAATCCCAGCCTATTTTTTTGAAAATTTTTATGTCTCTCAACTGTTAGTGAGATACCGTGGGGTAAATATTCCAAACCCCAGTCTACATTAGTGCATGAGAACCTCATGTGTGGAGTCCGAAAAGATAATAACTCTGTTTACTTTTCGGGAGACTATATCGATATGGTAATCTTTCTCGTGGAATCCAGTAATCAAGAATCAACAATACGAGCTTTTACTAAATTGGAATACACTTAGTCGTATCTTAGTGCCTCACGTTGTTATGTAGGACATTTGATCGACGAAAGAACTAATATAGTGTAGATTATTCGTAAATCCAGTATTAATTGTAACTATTTTGGGAGGCCATATTTAAGTCTAAGTATTTTTTAGTGATGGTAGCAATCAATCTGAAGTGATCAACTATACTTTTATGGGACGTTTATTATCAAGCATGATGGTCATAGCTTCCTTCAAGGTTGGAAGTGCCCAAACATCGTCTCAACTATATTCAGATGATAAACGTGGTAGGTTTATACCTTCTTGTTCAAGGAACTGAATTAAGTAGTTTGTTGATTAATCTTCTGATCTCGAGATAATTCAGAATAAAAACTTCGTGTTTTCGAGAAATTAATCCGATAGTACAACAGCTGATCATTGAACTGACTGTTGGTAATATTCCCAAACATCTCCGTGCCGAACACCGATGCGGAACAGGTAAAGTGATTCGCTTTATCCTCCGATGAATCCAAGTGGTGGTCTTAACTCTTAACACTATTCAAATTATGAAAACATTACCAACACAATTGTATGTCATCGCGTATGCCTCCCGCCAGGCTTCTTACGAAAGAGACCGTCGGTAATCTAAGAGACATAGCTGACGCGTAGGCTACCCTGACCGGGATTCTGATTGAAAATCTCACAGTTGCAATGGCCATAATACTCACCATCGACCCTTGGATCAGCAACTTCATGGAATATCAGAAAGTTCTACAAACGGTGACAGATACAGTAGAGTTGCACGTCTTACCTCAAATGGGTTTTGTTGCGGTAAGAAAGTCGAGATGAAAGTGAAGTTACTCCTAGTCAAAGTGATGTGGACGATTACTCTGTCAGTGATGGTCCAGTAGATGCTATGCATTCAAGGAATAATAAATCTGGAAATACTCGTCTTACTTTTGAGTTGTCTCCATCAAAACAACCCACAAAAATCAGATCTCAGTCGATTGCTAATGTTCTGCTTAATACGGAGTCCATCCATTAGTAGTGAGAAATTATGTGCTGTTGTTAATATTCCATCTGCTAAACGACAATCAGCATAAATATATCAGGATTACAAATAGTATGTGGTGTCTCATCATTCTTTCTAGCACTGAATATTGAATCATAAAATATTTTTCTGCTTTAATAATAGGTATGGTGTATGCCTTTTATCTTATTAATTTTTCACAGGGATTAGAAGCATCGATTAGACTAGCGCCGAATGAGGTTGTAACAGAGGTTCGTGGTCATTTCTTGCTTATAGAAGAATATGAACATTATGTGGATCCCGTGTCTGAGTAAGCGCTCGATTTGAAAACATTTCATAAACCTTTGATTCCTCTCAATAAATATGCTCTTGTTTTTTTTAAAAAAGGGACTTAACTTTATTTGAATGAGGCATTTGGAAGATAAACTTCGCGAGATGATATCATTTCGTAGTTTTTTTATAACCGCTTCATTTTCATTTTCAATAGATATTCACTGTCCAATTCCCGTAAATTCATTGTTTATTCATTGTCTCAGTTTGTGTTTTTTTAAGTTTCGTTAAACTGATGAATTGTCAATTTTTGAGTTACGTTCCTTTTGTTATTGAATGACAATTTTTCAATATTTTATAAGTACTTACAACATTGACATATCCTGTTATTTCCCCTTCCTCTCTGTACACGCGCATAGATATAACCGTTATGTTATGTTTTACCGTGGATTTGGTGATCGTGTAATTGTTATTGATTCCAGTCTATATGGGAATAGTGCACGCTTTGTTCGACGTTCTTGCATTCCAAATTGTAGAGTAAGTTTTAACTTAAATAAAAAAAGTTGATGTACTGTTGGTTATTTTGTCACATAATGATGCATATTGTTTTTGATCTTGTGAATTGTTTATCGCAGAAATGTATCCCCTTCCTTTATTCCATGATTTGTCACTTTTTTGGTTTCTTTTTACTTCTCTTACTTACTTTACTTTACTTCGGCTATCTCCTACGGGAGGATGAGCCGGCTTCATGAACGTCTCGAATCATCGCTGCCCAGGCGCGGCGATCTGAAGCAAGGTTTTGCGATAGGGATATCCAATTCTTGTTCCACATACGGAGTCCGTAGACGGTTTGTAGCCCCAGGCACTCCATATCTGCCTTGACTGTACCAAGCCATGTCTTCAGCTGTCCGCCCCTGCGACATCGCCAAGATGGTAATGGCGAGGGATTTAGAACTGATTTGACCAGATCGTCATCTGGTCGGCGCAGAACATGGCCAAACCACCGAAGGCGGCGTTGTTGGACCAGTACTGGAATTTGGTTGATGTTGTAGCAACGACGACGCACTTCTTCGTTGGAGAGTTTGTCCTGCCAACGAACATGCAGAATGTACCTGAGACACCAATGGTCTAATACCTCGAGTCTGCGTAAATCTTCCGCGCGAAGAGGCCAGGTTTCACAGCCATACAGGAGAACGGGTCGTATGGAAGCTTGGTAGACCCGAATTTTAGTCCTGAGACTGATTTCTCTCTTGCTCCATAGAACGCTCCTCAGCTGTAGAAACGCATTCCGGGCGTTGGAGATTCGCGCATTCACTTCGTTTTTCGCTTGGCCGTTGGGGAGCATTATGGATCCCAGATATCTGAAGGATGGCACAATTTCAATAGGTGCTCCATTTAGGGATAAGATTTCATCATTGCTGGTGGATGTGTTCGAAAACATTTTGGTTTTGGAAGTGTTAATTTTCAAACCGATAGTAGGCGCGAGGTGGTTTATCTGGTCGAGCGCCTGTTGCATATCGGGGAAGTTTTCAGCTAACAGCACGACGTCGTCGGCGAATTCGAGGTCGGTTATGTGAATATCGGGCGAAAGTTGGACGCCGTGGTGCTCGGTTAGGGCGTGCCGCAAAATCCAATCAATTGTGAAATTGAACAGGATGGGGGATGCTGGACAACCTTGCCGGACACCGCTGGTTACCTCAAAAGTGCGGGACTCTTCACCGTTCACTCGGACTCGAGCTTTGGTGTTGGAGTAGTATGACCTGAGCAGGTTGATTAGCTTGGTCGGAACTCCGTCGAGCTCCATTAGATACCAGAGTGCTCCTCGATCAACTGAGTCGAATGCCGCTTGGAAGTCGATGAAGCAAGCAACCGTCGGCTGTTGGAATTTGTCCCTGTGTTCCAAAATTCTTCGCAGTGTGAATAATTGATCAACACAGCCTCTTCCAGGTCGAAATCCGGCTTGATTTGGCCTTGTTCGCACGTGGCGTTCGGCCGCGAAGCGGTTCAGGAGAATGGAAACAAAAACCTTAGCAGCGATATCAATCAGACTTATGCCTCGGTAGTTCTCGCATATTGACCTGTCTCCCTTTTTGTGGAACGGTAGCAGAACTGAGGTGCTCCAATCGGAAGGAATGGTTTCGGACTCCCAAATTGAGCAGAACAGCGAGTGCAGTGCATCGATTAGCGCTGGAGTGCAGGCCTTGTATATTTCTGGGGGTAGACCATCTTCGCCCGGAGCTTTTTTGTTTCTGAGTCTGTTAATTGTTTTAGCTATTTCGGTTGGAGTGGGTGGATCGCAGTCAACTACGTAGGGTGTTGGTAAGTGTCGTATCGGTCGATGAGACGGTTGACCAGCGTCGCGATTGAGTAGCTGCTTGAAGTGTTCGGCCCATCGTTCCATCTTACCATTGGTGTCCGAAATAATTTCTCCTGATGCTGTGCGTAACACAGCATGACTGTTAAGGCGTTTGCCAGATGATTGGCGTATGAGGCGATAAAGTTTTCCGAAATCGCCTACATTTGATGCTGCTTCCATGTTAGTCGCCACGTTAGACCAATAGCGATTTCTGTCGTTCCTAGCAGACTGTGTAGCTTTGCGCCTGAGGGAGCGATAAACTGGAGACTTTGCTAGGCGAGCGTCTCTGGCTTGCGAGGATAGAAGCATGGTGTGCTCTGAAATCCAGTCTTTCTGCTTCTTGGATGTGGTACCCAAATGCGACATTGAAGCTTTAGAGACTACTTCTTTGAAATGATTCCATCGTGTCTCGGGTGTATTAGAAGATGTGGATGTTGGTTCATCTGCGGCGCTTAGTTCGGCCTGGATTTGTTTGGACAAGGCTTGTCGCTTTGTCGAACATTGAAGCGGGGCAACATTGATACGCTTCGGAGGTCGCGCCTTCTGGCGTGTCGTTAAACGAAGTTTGAATTTCGCCCTAACTAGAGTATGGTCTGATCCCCCTTTATTTCCGGCCTCTGCTCCACGATAGGATCGACAGTCTTCCACCGAGGAGATCCAGCGTGAGCGCACTAGGATGTAGTCGATCTGATGTGCAGTGCGACCGTCGTTCGAATACCAGGTGAGAAGATGTTTTCTGGGGTGTTGAAATCGAGTGTTGGTGATATATAATCGATTGTAATCAGAAAAAGCTAAAAGTCTATCACCATTACGGCAGCGCTGATCGAGACCGTGTTTGCCTAGTATATGTTTTGTCGCGTCGTCTGAAGGGCCAGTGCGGGCGTTCCAATCGCCGGCTACTATGAGAACGTCACGCTTTGGGATTTTGTTGATTGCCTCTTGAAGATTGTCATAAAATTCGTCTTTGATACTTTCATCAGAGTCGAGGGTTGGGGCATAGACAGCGAGAACAGAAATGTCGAGCGGGGAACCCTTGAACCTAGCGACTGCAACTCTGGAGTTGACCGGTTCGAATGATATTAGGGCATTATTGGCTTTGTTACTGAGAGCAAATGCTACCCCATGTTGTCCCGAATTATTCTGGGGTCCACTATGAAGCAACCAGAATGAAGAATCTGTTCCAGGTACGGCTATTCGGCGGGAGCCATGATCGGGTAACCTCACTTCAGATAGACACGCTATGTCTACCTTGTAGTCATATAAAGAACGCATGGTGATAGACTGGCTACCAGGATCCAACAGCGTCCTAACATTCCAGCAGCCAACAAATAGTTGGTTTCTAAGTGTTAATTTCCCAGCTAGCTTACTTTTCACACTGGCCACCGGGTGAGCACAGGGCGCGTCGCTTACCGGGAACGCCGTAGCATGGTGAGAGTTGTTTGTAGGAGAGTTCATGAAGTTTCTTGGGAATTTGGTACGAGTGATGTCCCCAGCATCGCTCGGCCTTTTGTTTGAGAGTGCAGCTCTAGCCTTTACACAGCCAAGTGTGACCTACAAGGCAGTAGGAGTGGAGTAAGGAGTCCACTATCCATTGGCAGCCGGTGACCGGAGTTCGGTTCATACGCCTTTTTGAATGGGGCCAGACATCCAGGACATCCAACAAGCCCTTTGTCCATACGTCTGCCGGTGAGCTTCATACGCCAGTCGTTGAAGGTTTGGAATCAGGGTTTAGCCATCTCCCCTAGACTGTCATCCAATGGACAGTCAACCCGGTGGAGAGCGCCGGGCATCCGCCTTTGCCCTCTCACTTTAGTGAGAAACGGTTAGTAAGTGCCAAACTAACCTACTATGTCTTCAACATAGTCAGCGTTAACCAGACCTTGCTCTGGTGGATAATTAATCTCTGAAAGGCCGATATAAGACAAATCTTGTGATATTAGTTCGGGTGAATTACCTTAAAATGCCTTAGAATGATATACTTTCTCCGCACTCACTTTCCAATCAGATATTGTCACAAAAATTCTCGATAAAGACAATCACCTTGAGATTATCATTAGAGGATTCCTTTTCATCTCACTCTAGATTTGAAATAATATTCGTGAATTCGAGTGCAGTCGTGGGACCAATATCTACGTGGTATTCATGTTGAGGTTTGATATTGGGTGGTTGTAGTTCAACTGTTGTCCAGTTGTACAGTTTCCTGAAGTGTTGTATTCAACTTTCGAGATGTCTGTTTTAAGAAGATTGTTTAACTTTTCATATCTTCCTTATAATCTGCGCATTTAACTGGCTTGAGTAGTTGACGAGTAATCTTGAGTACTTATGTCCCTCTTTTGCTTATACTTTTTTGTCCATCCCTTCTGTAGAGGCTTTCAGCGTTATCCTTATGCATGAATTAAATTAATCTGAATGCTGATTCAAGTGTCATTTTTGTAATTATCACTGGGAGATTCATCATTTTTCTTATAAAATGCAATAATGAAGCTCCTACACGAGTATGAGACTTGTTAGTTCTGTCTCGTTGTCATGCCTATTCCTTTTCTCCTCTCGTTATGTGTCACTGTTTTGCTGTGATTATGAAAACTCTCACCACAATGTCAGCGACTAACATCGTTATCATAATTTCTATCCAACTTACATTCACTGAATGTTAAAACCTACAGAAACATCTGTTTTGACCAGTAAAGCTATTCCAGTCATTGTCATATAGCATTAATAACTGAAAAATCACTGAATGGGAAACTCAGGAAAACAGTTACAGTTTTGTGAACGATATACCTGGGACAGATTGAATGTGTCATAGATCTGTATTTAACATCGGTGTTGTTCTCTTCACTATTTCTGAATCACTTGAATCATAACATTTGAAAGACGCCCACTTAAATACCTAAGTAACATGGGAACCATGACATAAGGAAAGTACTAATGTTTATTCTATACAGTTATAGTCTTTTAAATGTTACACAATTTGATACTAGTACGTTTTGCTTAGTTTTCTCTTTTCTGGTGCTTCTAATTTCTGTTACATAGTTGGCTAAATGTTATATTGTATTATTGTATATCCAAAAGAGGAGTTGTAGTATCTTGCAGTAGTATTAATATTGGCATTAATTCCTAATTATTGGTACTGATTCTTTATTGTCACTGATTTTGTAGCTTGAACATTATGTCGTGCAAAATAAACTTCAAATTGTAATTCGTACATCAGTTGAAATAATGCCTGGTACTGAATTGACTATACCGTTCGACTTGGACTACAGAGCTTGTCGTTATCCTTTGGATTGTGCATGTGCAAGATCCCGTTGTCCTGTCCTTAAATGGCGGCGCAAGTTGCTTCGTAACAAGGTGGTACCTAACTTAGATTATAATAAATATATTCAATCACAGCTCCGTGTGTAAGTCCTTACTTTTTTATTTTAACAAATAAGAGTTTGGTGTATCGACATGTGTTTCACCATATTATACTGTTGTCTTCCTTTTTGCATCACCATTATATATCTTCACTTATCAAACCATATCACTCACACCAATAATTATCTTACACCATTAATGTGACCAATAATGAACACGCTAGACATCACAACTAAATACTGAACAGGACTATTCTCCCTCCATACCTTATGTTTCATGCAGTCACAAAAGTATGAGAAGGCAAAGTCTTACTTGTAATTGTAAGGGCAACTTTATCAGACAAAAATACACCATACGTCTATACGTTTCCAAAACTTAAAATAGGCTAAGTCAGTAGGGATGAAATAAATCAATCTGATTGGTTTTGCATGAGGTTGGAGATTATCCAATCAAAACTAGTATTCTGCGTAACAAAATAATTCTCAATTTGAAACACCGATCTCCTACCTCTGTGTGTGCAGTCAGTAGATTAGAATGTGAAATTCTAATTTTATCCTCATCCTATCTAATTATTTCCACCTCGTGGTTCATTGATAGGATGTCGCGTTTTGTCTCCTTTATTAAGTGGTATAATATAGTGGGTGATATTGAGGTTGGGCGTAGAGTGTTATGTAAAGGAAAGTAGTCAGTCTATGAAGTTGTGAAGCACGCCGCCTGACATGGCGAGGACACTTGCTACGCACGCAGAGCCACTGTCTTCCCCGATGGGCAATATTAGCCGACATTAGTTTAGGTTGGAAAAAAGTCAGGAGTAGTTAGACAAAAACCTGGAATCAGTCTATGAAGTCTTCTACAGTTAGCTTGAGCTAAGTAAAATGGTGTAGACTTCCTGTTTTGGAGGCAGAAGATGCTAAGAACCAATGGTTGAAGACTGTTAGTAATATGGTTTAAAACTGTTCTCAGTGACGCAAATGAATTCATGCTTTATTATCTTCCAGATCCACTTAGTCCTCGCGTCTTCCCATATTACTATTCTGTGTACCCTACATTTCTACTCACCATAATACTCTTGACTTTCTTTCTTTCTTTTTTTAACCTTTTATGTGGTACATGATATGTGGCAACCTGAACTACTGCACTTATTTGCAAAATTCTATGTTGTAACTCAACCAGTCAAGCAGATAAAATGCTTGTCCGAGCTCGATTCTCGGCCGACGCACTCCTAAACCTCACATACTTTACTGGTCGTAGTAAGCTGTGAGGCTTGCCAATCCATCGTGTAACAATCACCATTGCTACTGAAATTTTAAAAGCTTCAATTCTTATGTTGCACTCGAAAACCGATGTATGAAAAATGTTTTCCACCTGGACCTTAGAGGTTTTAGATTAATTTATCAACTGTTATTTAAACTAGTTTTGTGTTGACAAAAATATCTTTGTTGGGACTGGTAAGCCTCTATTATGTACTCGTCGCCAAATTATTGTTATGTACTGGTCGAGAATTTAATAGTCCTGACGCAAGAAAGACTGAAATCAGAAGACCACTAGGTTTGCGATGATACTTCTATTTTCCAAACACAAGGAGAATCAAAGTCACACAAGAGTGTGAGAGCAAAAATATATATGAATATCCGAACAAGTGTGTGAGCGAATATTCAAAATGAACAAATCAATAGACAGTCTTAACATGATTGGCTAATTATAATGGAATATCGGTCCATATACACATAGCGAAATATATCAGACTGTGAAACAAACACACATATTATATGGATATATATATCAGCCTCCTTGTTTGCCGTGAAGTCATGATTTATGCATGCGCTGACATGTTAATCTGATTGGACAGTTATTGATTCGTTTGTTAGTGGCTTAATCTCTCCTGAGAAATCGCAATGTCATACAACTAATCAGGTGTACTTATTTATTAATGGCTTAAATTCATTAGGTTCTGTGAATATGATATGCTATGCATTTTGTCTAGTAAACTTTGTTGCTGTTATTGTTTCTGTTGATCGTCATTGTTTTTCCCAGTCAGATATTTTCAAGTGATCAGTTAGTTATAATGCCATATCTAGAGGCGGATTCCAACCAGGTTAGACGACCACACATTCACAGTAACACTGAACCATAACAATCTCTGAGAGACAAAATTGGAAACTACCTGGTATTCAATAATTGTTGAAAAAGAAGCCTAGGGATGATGTTTCTACACCTCAATTTTTCACTAATCAATAAACTAGTAACATTTTCAAAAATTAATAGAAAAACTAACAAGTAATTTATTTCGTGAATTCATATAATATTTTCTTGTATTCACTAAACATATCTTCAATTTGTTTTATTTATTTATTTAATTTTTTTCAATTTTATATTATTGTAGACTTTCAAAAACTTTATCACCACAAGAAAGTTCAACTCATCGACGATATGATTCAGGTAGTAGTTTATCAGCCTCCCCACTGATAAAATCATCTACCTCAGCAAATAGCCACAGTATGTTTACTATAAAACCATCATCATCATCTGTCAATTTTCGTAAAGAAATTGAATTACCCAAATATGACTATGATTTTCATCAAACACAAAAATCTAAAGATCAAGATCAAATTCAAACAGATACAGATAAAGCGAATGTTGTTGTTGATCAGGAGAATTCTTCTTCTGACAATGTTAATCAACCTGAAACTTGTAAAGAGATAAATACGGATTTAGATGCTTCAGAAGATAAAAATACTACAATTACTGATGAAAATCAAATACCTGAAACTTCAAATTCAATAGATAACTCAACTGATATTAATAATTCTAAAATCTCTCCAACTAAATTAAAGGATTCATCAAATCGAAAGTCACAAGGCGTAAATGAAGAAAAACAGGTATAAGTTCATGACCTGTCTATTCTTATATTATACAACTTGTTCCAATCATGCTTGATTTTTTTTCCACGGGTTGATCATTTTTCGAACATATATTTTATAATAGGGGAATCATGGTAACGAAATTTCAGTAAACAATTTAAATTTGGCCATCAGTCGACACCACTTAGAAAATCATTAGATATCCGTTTCACCCTAACTTGGAACCCTTTTGGCAGTGTATATGCCTATGGTCATAACAAGGGTCGAACCCAAAACTTTCAGGTTAAAAGGTCAACCTGTAGTTTCGTGTCGAAGTTTTCCTTAATTTGCCTCATAACATTTCATTATCTCTCATTTTTATTTCCACGCAATAAACTGTTACTCTAATTTATGCATTTGTTTCCTGACTTACAATGTTTTTTTACAGTGTCTAAGTCCACTACATGTAGTTCCAAGACTTTATGTTTTAACGTGTATACAGAAGCTTACGCTTTTTCACGTTGCTCATATTGCTTTATTGTGGTCTTACTAATATCCATAACCAGACAACCTGTCCCCGGATTTTTGGAAAAATGGTGATGAGGTTCTCGTCAAGGCACTGACTGGAGTGTTCAGGAAAGTATGGAAAAATGAGAATTCTCCATCATTATGGAGTTAAGCGATCATCATGCCTATCTTTAAAAAGTTCCTACATCATAGATGTGCCAATCACAGGGGTATTAATTCGCCACCAGTCGCGTCTAGAATATTGGCTTCTGTCTGAGTCTATGCAAAACACATTAACAACTGATTTGTGAGGAGTATTCTGGGTCTCGTTCAAGCCGTGGATGTACTGATCATATGTTCACTCGTCGTCAAGTAGTAGAGCATCATCACACGTATCGTAGGCCAACCATCCTTGCGTTTCTCGATATAAGGGTTACTTTCGATTCGTTTTACAAAACTGCTCTGGTAAACTGTCTTTTGGAGAGAGATATTCCTAAGAAGTTTGTTAACATCCTGAAAGCCGTTGTACACAAAACTTCAAGTAGAATGGGGGCATACAACTGTTACGAACTAACAATGGAGTTAGACAGGACTGTCTGGTCTTCCCATTCGTCTTTAACCTTGCCACTGATAATATTCTGGAGTCAGTCCTGACGGATGTGAGTTAAGATGGTGTAGATCTGATTGATTCCTCGGTTTCGACTATGCAGGTGATGTTGTCTCACTGTATGGTAACATGCAGACTGTCTAAATTGTACTTAATCAGTTAACGATCAGTGTTTGTAAGTATGCGAAATCTCTAATCGTACATTGAATGCTAGGATGGCATATGACAATTTGGGCCTCCTCTGGTACCGCCAGCCTGGCTGTTGAAGGTCAAATTCGCAATACTCTGGTGTGCTTAGTCTTGCCCTACTGTTGTGAAACTTCTCCTGTCCGAGCTGAGTATGTGCGACGACTGTGTATTCTATCATCTCTGCCTCCGATGCTATTACTGTGTAAATAGTTCTTGTGTCCGGTGGCGTGTATTTGAACACTTAGGAGGTCACCAACAATCGAATATGATCGTCTGGAAACAGTGGATTCGTACATGTGCTACGAGTGTTAACCCCTTGTATCGGTCGCTGTTCTCTAGCCCTGGGACTGGATGGAGAAAGTAAAAAGATGGGGAGCACATGGAGTGATACCGTGTGATCAATAATATTTGTGTTAGATCGGCATCAGTCCTCTGTTTGGACTACAAGAGATAGTTCGAATTGTTAGTGCGAAACGTTATCAGATATGACCAAGAATCGCGACCTTCCTGCAGTTTCTTTCCTCCTTTTTCTAATAGTAACATAAAATGTTGAATGATCTTGGCAAATATGCATACTTTCTGGATTACATTTCTCATCCATTTTCTTCATATTTTCTTTATATATTCTTGTTTAATTATTGATATGTTGCGCATCTCTCCGGAGCCATACTGTACCAACTTAGAGTTTTAAATAAGTAAACATTCATACCAAAAGTGTTGGCTTAGCAAATAGAGCAGTTATGGCAGTTTAATGATACACGAAGTCTACATAATGAAATTGCTTATGACTTTCGTGTTTACTTCGTCATTTCATAGGGGAGAGGGGTGTTGTAACCAGGTCAAACTCCGTTTTAGTCCAGCTTTCATATTCAGACAATTTATATTCTATTTGATATGAAGTGCTTTTGATATTAGAAGTTCTTCATGTTTTTTCTGAATTTTTTATGGATTGTTATAATATTGTCAAAATTAATTCTGTGACTTGATCCTATTGTGTGCAGACGTATGCCTGATTTTTCAAGCTTTTCTAGCTCAACAAGATTTTCTGGTGGATGAACAAATGCTCTAATGTGTTCATTTTTTATGATTTTTATTTCTCTCGATGTATATCTCGTCATATTGCGAGCATTTTATTTTGTAGACACAATTAGATTGAGAATTCTTAGGGATTTGATATATACATGAACAAGGTTGGTTTGTATTGTCCGTGTCTAATGTTCCGAAGAAAACTGATGTACCTATTAAGTACTCTTTTAATATTGTCTAACGTTTCTGATCTATATGGAATGATAACTGTTGAGGTCCATGCCTGCGGATCATGTTTTCGACCATATTTAACGTCGGTGTTGATTTTGTTAATGAAGTTCTTTGGGTAGTTATTTTGCTTGAGAGTCTCAGTAATGTTTTGTATTTCTTCTTTTTCCTTCTCACCCGTTATCAAAGAATGTGCTCGTCTAAGAAGACTTAAAACAACTGATACCTTTGAGCTGATGGTGTGTGATTACCAGAAGTCTAAATATTTATTGGAGCAGGCTTTCTTCCTGAATACTATCATTATATTGTTATTCCATTGGGTTCCGAGTAGAACATGAGGCTTCAACAACACATTTCCAGTTTGTCCTCCTCACACGATCGCCTCCATATCACTCTGGGATGACCCACTCGTCGCTTCCCACTCGAATTCCAATTAAGCGATGGCCTGCATTGCGCTCAATATCTTTCGATGGCTTCCTCAATGCCTGCCCGATCTATCTCCATTTTCACCTACATATTTGTTGAGCGATTGGCTCTTGATTTGTTCTCAACCAGAGTTTCTTGTTATTAATTCTTTCTGGCCATTTGCTCTTCAGTATGGAGCTAGTGAAGGTGGCAGCTGTTGATAAAAGTCTGTCACCTGTTGGAAATCCTTTTCGTGACACTACCGGTGAAGTTTCTCACCCGTATAGAAATACAGACTTCACGTTTTTGTTGAGTACAGATATTTTAAAATATCCGTTTTCCCTCCTCTTTACTATACAGTCAAGAAATGGTAGTTGACCTAAGTTTGATTCTAATTCCGTAGTAAACTGGATGCTGAGAGGTAGACTGTTTGGCTTCTCCAAGAAAGAATTGTGTAGATCTCGTTGTAGCACAACAAAAGTGTCATCTACGTACCTTAACCATAATTTAGGCGTGAGTATGCTCGAGAAGATGTTATCTTCGAATCTGTTCATGAAAAGATCACCGACTATTGAGAAAACTGGGGAAACCATAGCAGCACCATTCGTTTGTCCATATAAATTCCCTTAAAACTTTCCAGACAGAATTTGAAGCTCGTAATTATTTCACTGGTATCTAGTTGACATATTTGTTGTAGGGAGAGAAAATTTCCAATTTTGGGTTTTAATTTTTGAAGGAGTCTGTTTGTATTTAGTTCGATTTTGCTGAAGTAAAATTAAGCCTTTGTTCAAACGTTGTGATTAAAAGCGGGTTATCTGGCTAAGGTTTTCACATTGTTTAGAATCATTGGTTGGTGAATTTCTGTGATGCATACCATTTAAAATCGTCAACAGCAGTGAAAAGTACAATCACTAGTGATCATTCAATTATTCCCTCTCCTACACCTATATTTGTCCACTTAAAGTGTCAATACAAGTTGAAATGCTTCGCGACTATGAAAAGTCATGCCTTTATCTATCAGTTAATTAGCATACCATTTCTAGGTGTAATAATCATGCTTCTATGTATCGATGGTATGCATGTCACCTTGCTATTTACTGCATGCTTTTATATTCTCCTTAGCCTGTGTAATTACTGTCTCTTTATACTCTTATGTCTTTATTTCTTTGTTAGCCTTTTGAACCTATTATTACAACAAGAAAACAGGCTGCAGCTATTAAAAGTGGTATGCGATGAGATTACATGAACAACTTTCGTTATATATTCAGATACAAACTTTTCTAAATTAACAGTGATCATCAAATAGATACATATATACATATACATAAATGTGTTCAAGGATAGTGATAAACTTACTTCTCTTGAGCAATTATTTTTGCCATTATTTTCCCTTTATACATAGTCGGTTTATTATTATATATTTGTCAAACAATGTTTATCTCTTTCAGTCTATTTAACGCTTCAACGTTTCTTTACAATTTTACATACTTTTTCTTTTTTCATTATACTACCCCATTTAAGAGTGTTTAAATGTGACAAATAACCATGAGTGAATAATCACATACAGTTTATGAACCCCTTACTTCCTTTATCACAATATATCCTCATTAAGTTTTATCACTATTATCTAACTAACTAATCATATAATTTGTAAGTGCTCTGTGGTTTTTTTTCTTTTCTTGTTTTCAATAGTCTATTTTTTGATATACATTTTGTATAATTCATCTATTGACTTAGTTTAAAGCACTCTAGTAAGTTTTCATTCAGTATGGAATAATATTTAAATAAAGATGTGTGAAGTTTTTATTGTGTTTCTTTCTATTTCTACCTCTACATCAAATGGAAGCACTAAGTTTCTTTTCTATATCTAATCGATTCCACACATGTATACAAATGAAGAAAAACAGTTGTGTGAGTAACTTGATATGATTATGAGCAATAGTTTGTGCTCGAAACGTCATCAGTTAATATTACTGTACAACACTGTGTGACTTATCAAAATAAAATCTTATCCATAATGGAGTTATACTCTACCAGCACAGTGCCCAAGTTTTATACTTATATCAACTGATACGTAGTGTCGCAATTTGATCGGTGCATGACTTGTTTCTCCTGAATCCAGTGTGTTCCGGTCGAAATGTTTCATCGAGGGAGTGTTTGATTCTCTCCAGGATGATGTGGCTTGGTTTTTTGCTTGGGAAAGACAGGAGCATAATGCCGCGCCAATTCTTGCATTGACTTAAGTCTCCTTTCTTTGGCAGTTTGAAAAGGTCGCCTTTCCTCCAACTAGCGGGTTACTTTGCCTTCTTTCCATACATAGGTATAATACTTAATTATCCGTACTTATATCAGTTTCTTTTCGGTTGCTAAGATCACAAAACAATCCGCTGTTGGGATCACTTAATGTATGTGTCAACTGTGTTCTTGGCTGGTTATCGCTGTCAAATCCTCTCCACCCATCTTGTCTCATTTTAATGTCTTCATTCTAAGCCAATGTTTGTGATCCTAACATTATCCAAAGTACTGCCTTTCAGTAACTGACTAACTTGTGTAATTTTATCGTTGAAAAGATTTTTAACCTATTGCGCTGCAAAAGTAACAGATTTGAGATAAGGAGAACGGTAGCCTTATTTGCTTACAAAAGTGTATGGTTGCTTATTACATCTCGATCTCCAACACCGTGGAAGCCGATTTCTTCTTGGGGTTTGATTGCAAAGGTCAGGGTTTTTTACAAAAACAGTTGACTGGAAACACTATCGAAAATTGCGGATGATAAGTGAGTAGACTTAAGAATAAATTTGGAGTAAACTGCAAAGTACTGATCGATAACTTCAAAGAGGAATCCTTAGTTGGTGAATGTTAAAATTTTATATATATGTCTATGTAAATTAGAGTAAAGCCTGAAGAAGATCTAATTGAAAACAATATTGTTCGCTTATATGTCTTGTTCTAATATTATAAATGGGAATATTTAAAGAATGTGCTTTGTATAAAAGAACATTATAACTAACACCAGGCTCGGAACTTTGTTAAGTGAATGGCTGTCGGTTTCACCAAAAGCTCTTATATAGTGAGAACCTTCAATTCGAAAAGAAGTAAAAATAAAATTATTCAATACTACTCTCCTTAGAACAACACAGAACAAGAAAAGAAAGAAAAAGTCTATAGGAAACCTCAAACAGTAATGGACAAGACTCCAAATAGTAACATTCTAGCGCCCCTATATTAACTCTGTACGTTTATATAACTAATTCATGTACGCATGTTATGCGCTTACAGAAACTAATTTTAAATATGCTTGCAAAATATATGTCGTTTATTACTTAAATTTTTACGCGGTTTTACACCTGCGTTCGCCTCGCGCTCTTCGAAATCTGATTTTGTTAACATTACATCTCAAGTTTTCACTTGTGTTTCTTAATACAACGTTGTTCGTCATTGACCGTGTACAGCGTTAGCACATAGTGTAACGTAAAAACGTCGATGTCCTATTATATTATAATCGGAATCATCTTTAGTACACTATACCATCCTCACTGTGAGTGAGGAGGTTCTCAGCGAAATGAAAGAGAATGGACTTGAGTGACTTTATTTTTGGAGGCGGTGTGAACCAGCACAAGGATATACATAATGCAACATGAGTTTCACCAGATGGAAACATCAACAATCAGATAGGTTTCATCGTGGTTTAAAGACATTGGATATTTAGCTTACTGGAAACGAAGTAGGGAAAAGGAGCAGATTCCAATTCAATCCGGTGCAAGAAACCTTCGAGATCAAGTTGAAAGACTGCTGTGACGTCGCCACTTTTATATTTGTATTAAATTGTGTTGAATTAGGGACACTGAACTGAACATAGACTTTTTGATCAAGAATACCGCTTGACTGCACCAACATCACTCGAATGCTACTTGTTTTCACATCCCTCCGCGCTTATGCAGCAAAATGCACTGATATCAGTTCAGAAGTATATTTATCAATATCAACAGCATTATCTTTACAAAAGGAAACAATTATTTATATCGCTAAAGACGTAGGCATCAGATAACTATAAAGAGATAATCCATTGTTTACCTGTCCGCATATCACTCCAACTTCAGAAGAGACGCGTTACTTGGGATCAGCCTACGACTACATCATATTTTTGCTTCATTTGGCTGACCGATGTCAGGAGAGTGGTGTGTTGTTTACTGAAAGGACTACGTTTTAGTCCAGCAAACATCCAATGAAAAATTCACTGATCTTTGTCCTTTTGTCTGGAGGTGGATGCCTTCGTAGTCAGTTATTATGTCGTGTTCCAACGCTGAAACTTTTCCGGGTGTGACAAGTTAGCTGTAGATGGCGAAGGCACTAACGTTTCGCGTGAAGTCCGTAGCCTCCTCCCCATCAGTGCGTAAGAAGCTGTGGCACGCCTGACAACATTTTATTGTTTGAGACGCAAGATATTGGCGTACACTTTGGACAGATAAAACGCGTCTCTTCCTGGGGGGAGTAGCGCTGCGCTGTCTAGAGGATATCGAGGCCCGTCACTAATGCATTTTAGGTTAAATTAATTAACTGGAAACGACGATTCCATGAGGGTGGCCGTTGGGTGTGTTCCTAGCTAAATCCATCTTTGTGTTTAACATTATTGTAGTATTCGCACTGCTGTTGCTTATACGGACTAGATGAAAGGAATGACAAAACTAAAATGGTAGCCGGTCTGTGTTAATAGAGGGTCTCCAATCTACCATTTCCAAACCACGTCAAGTTCAATATAGGTAGACCTGAGATGAATACTTTCACTGAAAACCGACAACTGCAAGCAACTGTCAACGTTGGTCAGTTAACCCATCTTCACTGAAATCAGACTCGACTATCTGAAACCATGATTCTACATTGTCTGGCCAAAATGGCACGAGCTGAATAGTTCTCGTAGTTGATTGAATATGGACGACCTTAGGAGAATGATCACCCACTAATGGCGAAATATATATATATATCGTTTAAAAATACTACAAGAACAAATACAAAATGGAACGAACTCACCGGATTTGTCTGCGTACTTGCCAAAGATGAAGTTCGCGGTAGGGCTCACCAGTTTAGAGGCTGAGGGTGTTGACGATCACGGATAGCACGAATTATACGAACGCGAGATCTAATACCCATGACTTATACAGTATTCATTCCGCGTAGACGCAGGGCAAAGCAAAACACCAGAAGTGACCACACAAATCACTGATTATATTTCGAGACAAAATCGGAGTGTGAGATGATTGCCTAAACAGCTGCGTATCGTGCACGAACGAACTGGCGCACTACGACGGCGTGGATGCTTGGCCGAGGAAATTCAGCTAAACAAATCGACTAACACAGTCGTCAACATCCAATGTCCAGTGGTGAATGCTTTGAGCGAAGAATTCTGGGCAATTACCTACAACTACAACTCACTCTTCCTCTAGGGTGCTGTGAGGACCCTGAGACGAAACCAGCCGGAAGCTAAAACCCAATGGTGTTCCCATCGATGAACCTCTTCCGATCGACTTGGTTTAGTGCCCACTGGTCGTCTACGTATACTAATGGGGTGTCTGTACATCGCTTTCTTTATGCTTGCCCGTTGGATCTCGTGCTTCGTTTGCTTCTTGTCCAGTGCCCGTTGCACCTGGAAAAGAAAAACAACAAGAACCTTGTTGACGAAAATGTACGGAAAATAACTTTTGCATAATGATGTGCATCTACCACAGAGAAACATAATGAGAAAAATAGAATGTCGAAAATAAATATATCATTATTTGAGTGGATGTAACATGCATGGTTATAAAAAGTTTTTTTTCACTTGTGTTTCGGGATGCAATTTAACAAATTCATGTGTCTGAGAGAAAAAGTATACCACAAACGAATAAAAAAATTGGGTGAATCGCATCATTTCGTCATGTGACATGAGTGTGAAGATGTTCCGGGAATATCACTTGTCGTTCAGAGAGCATTTTCTTTGAGGGCTCTATAAAAGGTTCGGTGGCTTTCGCCGTGCTAGTGATTTCTTCGAGGAATAACGGATATTCAGTTACCTGTGTATTACCGGGAATGCGAAGTTTTAGGCTTATGAGATCGCCTTCTTAGTAGGCTGGTTTCCAACGGTCGATACTAATAGAGTCTTCGCGGCCTTTTCTATCTACAACAAAAAATCTGTCCATACGTCCAATGACTTCATATAGTCCATCGTATGGGGGCTCCAGAGGGCGACGTACAAAGACACGACGAACAAATACGTCTGAATAGGTTTTCAAATATGTGTGAACGGAGACGTCCATGGACTGGTGTCGGAGGGGAGCAGGTTTAACTTAATGCATTGCGGTTGTAAGCCTACTGGCTTATGAGGCATGATTTACCTCTGGTAGGGAGCTGGAGGGAGAAACAAACTCACCTGGAAGTCGTAGTATTGTGCCATAAACTAGCTCGGTAACAGCATAGCCAGCATCAGTTTTCAAGGCGTTTCGTATGCCTAGGAGAACTAACGTTGGTGATTCAGTCCAATTTGCATTGTTTGCAGCCGATAACACAGCTTTCAGTATCATGTGGTGCTGCTATGGTCATGTCACTTTATGTGACGAAGACTCTGTTAGACGTGAAACTTACAAGTTACTATGTAATTAGCACAGTGAATCGACCCTTTTATCGCTCATCTTTCTGTATTTTATGGTGTTACACTTTCTATCGTTTAAATCGTTACTCTGCTATTTTATATTAGTTGGTATTACTTTTATTACTACAATTTTGTACTTTATACATATTTTTCTCCGTATGGCACACAGTATTTTGCTACGTAGCTGCTACAACAATCGTTTTATTACTATTATGTATTGTGTATTTTTAATTTTTTTGTCGTTTTTGGGTAAATTAGATGCAATATTGTACTGAATGCTGAAAATTCCTTGCTGTATCATGAGTACTGTTTTTGGAATAAAGCAACTATTATTATTATTATTGATTTCTATAAGAGTCATTCTAGCGAGTGGCGACTGTATTGTGAGGTGTCAAGAGGATGCCTTTAACTGGAAGGCGTAGGCTGTCATCGTTGAGTGAGATTGTGTTGTTGTTATGCCGGTGGTGTGTTGGCTTTTCTGTTTGTTTTCCATTTCAGCTCTGCCCGTGTGACCCAGGTTCTTGCACCGGAACCCAGGTCAACGTGCATTGGTCGTGATGGAAAAAAAGGATGAAATCCTTTTTTTGCCGGGGAGTGTCAATATAATTCAACAATGAACGATCATTTCATGGTTGTTTACTCAAAACCAACTCCATATTTTGGCGAGAGTCACCGATACTTCAGTCATCGTTTCATCGTGCGCTGTTCGTTAGAAGACGGAGAAATACTATCAGAAGTATTATTGCGATTAACCGTTATAACATTTATCCTTAGACTTTGTGTATAATAAACCTATGGTTGGTTCCATATTGGTGCAAGGATAAAGGATTCTGGAGTCGCCAATCTGTTCGGTTTTTTCGCGTTAGTCATTACACATAGTTGCTGAAGGTCTTCTAAGGACACCGTTAAATCCAGTGTGGTTAGACCCGGACACTGACAATTTCTGATGTCTCCTGGAATTATTCACCTTATCTGCTGGCAATTAGTCTTTCCCCGCGTCTTCAAGTCTGCTTTGGATGAGTGTTATCTGGAACTTTTCTGGATCGTTTGGTAATGTTCAATAATGCCTGGACCAAAGAAAGGACGATGCGTTTTTGAAGCAGACAGGAAAGTAAGTGATGATAAGTTGCCTTTTATTTGTAATGTGTGTGAAGCTATGCATGATAAGATTGATGTATATGTTTCGCAGTCTAAGGATAATAGAAATTTAAAAATTTCCAAATTTCAGCCTCGGTGTTTCGACAGGAACCCAGCTGACTATCTAAAGTTTGTAAAGGAGTTTGAAGTCATGTTGAGTGGGTTTACAGTAAATGAAGAAGTGAAGTTGATGTATCTATTGAGGTATTGTACTGGTGTTGCTGCGAGAGCTATACAGTGCTGCAAGTTTATACCCCCAAACAAAGGATACACTGAGGCCATGAGAATATTGTGTCAAAGGTTTTGGAGGCCATTTATGATATCTAGGAGTGTTTTTGAGACAGTTGAGGGTAATGCTGCGCAGTTAAACGATAGCTTTGAGGAACGTGAAGAGTTTTTGGATAATTTAATGATGTATAGAAATACTCTTGTTTCTCTTGAATATGCGGGTGAACTGAATTCGAGTTCTGTGCTTGAGGCAATCGATAAGAGATTACCCGTTCGCTTATAAAGAAAGCGCATAAAAGGAAGGTTTAGAGCCAAGGTTTGACGATATACCGATATTAGTTACAGATAATGTTAACTAGATTATGAGTCTGCGTCGGTGGCATAGTGGTTAGGACGCTCGCCGGCCATGCACATGGCCCGGGGCTCCATCCCCGGCCGACGCACTCC